TTAATGAAGATAACAGAAAGATTGAACCTGGCCCATCCAGTGGGAATCTCAGTAAAGAAACCACAGCCCTGTCCGTGGTCAGACTTTTTTTCTTTTAATAATATTTTTATTTATTTATACTAGAAAGCAGATTTACAGAGAGAGGGAGAGACAGAAAGATCATTAATCTGCTGATTCACTCTCTAAAGGGCCGCAACAGCTAGAGCTGAGCTAATCCAAAGCCAGGAGCTAGGAGCCTCTTCTGGGTCTCCCACGTGGGTGCAGGGTCCCAAGGCTTTGGGCCGTCCTCTGCTGCTTTCCCAGGTCATAGGCATGGAGCTGGACCAGAAGTAGAACAGTTGGGACTAGAACCACACGCATATGGGATGCCTGCATTGCAGGCAGCAGCTTTACCTGCTAAGCCCCAACGCCCTACCCCGAAATAAATCTTAGAATAAGTAATTGTATTACAACAGTATTCATATTGATCATTGAATTCTTTAAACCCCGCCCCACTTAAAGAGTTTACTGGCTGTTTCCTCTCTAGAATGCGATACTGAATGCCACGATTTGTCTTTCTGGTCATTATTCAGTGTCTACAACAGCGATTTATACCTGAAATGCACTCAGCTCAACAAATATTTTGTGAATCAAGTTTGAGTCTTGCTTTAAATATGTCTTGGGCATGGCAAGAAAGTTCTTTTTCCCACATACATCAAAGTGTAGTGAATAAAGCTGTGGCCTGCAGCCATATGAGCACCAGTTCAAGTCCTAGCAGCTCCATTTTCTATTCAGCTCCCTGCTAATGCTCCTGGGAAAGCAGCTGAAGATGGCCCAAGTGCTTCCGCTCCTGTACTCACACAGGAGTCCCTGAAGAAGCTCCTGGCTCCCAGCTTTGGAGAGCTACGGGGCAGACCGTACACGTCCAGAATGGGTACAGTCAATTCAGAATCTGGGGAGTCCTTATTAGCCAGCTGGCAACTGCCCCCATTCAGAACACGTTTGAGGGGGACAGCCATGAGCTGCCAGGGCAATGAGCTTGCCTTTATGCTGGCAAGCTACAGTAAGCAGGTTAGAGCCAAAATGAGCAATTCTATAGTTGTAGTTACAGTTTAACTTCTTGGAAATTGGTTCCATTTTTCATGGGTCTCAGTTGCCAGGACCTGCTTCTCCTTAGAGAAGGGGGGTCAATCTAACCCTACTGGAGACCAGTGGATACACTCACTGTGTAATTTTTCACCCTGACACTGGAGGACCCGCCCCTGGCCTTCGTGGTCATCTGGAAGGAAACCAGTAGACAGAAGACCCCGCTATGTAACTTTTAAAAATAAAATAAATAGGGCCTGGTGCGATAACGTAGCAGTTAAAGTCCTCGCCTTGAACACGCTGGGATCCCAGTGGGTGCTGGTTCTTACCCCGGCAGCCCTGCTTCCCATCCAGCTCCCTGCCTGTGGCCTGGGAAAGCAGTTGAGGATGGCCCAAAGCTTTGGGACCCTGACACCCGTGTGGGAGAACCAGGAGAGCTCCTGGCTCCCGGCTTCGGACTGGTGCAGCACAGGCCGTTGCGGCCACTTGGGGCGTGAATCAGCTGATGGAAGATATTCCTCTCTGTCTCTCCTCCTCTCTGTATATCTGCCTTTCCAATAAAAATAAATAAGTCTAGAAAAAATTTTAAATAAATAAATATTTTAGGCCTTTTTCCAACTATATCACAACTTGAAAGTTGTTTTTACTGGAAGTCTGTAACACTAGAGTGTCCGAGCCCTTCCCCCTCCCGAAGGCTCACCTCCAGAGCGGTCAGCTTTACCACAGAGTTACACCTCCCTGGGTCCTAGAAGGCACTTCCGGAACGGTGACTGGCGCGCTATCTATCTTGGCGAAACTTCCGGAATCCTCTGGGCGGATTTAAAGTGGGGGCGGGCCACAGTGCCCCGCCCACGTCGCTGGGAATGCGGCTTGGGATTGGCGGAAGGGGCAGGGGGTGGGGCTTGGAGGCGCCTGGCGCAGGCGCGCTGGGCCGGTCGCGGCCACCCTTGGTGAGCTGGGTCAACGTGGGTGAGCGTGGGTTCCCCCGAGGCGAACGAGCCGGGCAGGTGGCGGCGGGAAGGGATGCGGCGTTCTAAGGGTGCGGCGGCCGGGGCAGCCCGGTGCGCGTCGCTGGCTTCAGCTGAGCCGAGCTGTCGGCCACTTAAACACTTGCGGAGTATTCGTCTGGTTTCCTGGACTGTACCACGAGGGCAGCCCTTCCGCCTGGCCGACCTGCGGGTGGCTGGGGTCTCGGAGCAGCTAGAGGCGCCGGCCCTGGAAGCGGCCTCGGGATCCGCAGGTGCCGCGGTCCGGAGAGGGACGTGCCTGGACCAGCGTCTGGCAAGCAGCTAGGCCCGAGGGTTCCATTGCTGTCGGACTCTGTGCGGGTCCGGGAGGGGGGACGTGGTTTACAGGTGTGCCACTGCCCGCCTCTTGCCAAAGGTGACTTCACCTGTCAGAGCCGCCCTCTGTGCCTTGGGCATCGTAACACTAGCAAGCAGCTTAAGGCATTTCAGGCGTGGCTTCGTGTGCAGCTTTGCTGGTGGGCCTGAGGGGCACCTGCGAATCAGAGGATCTCGACAAAAACGCTGGGCTTGGAGAGGTGACTGGCTGGCACGGAGTAGGCACTTTTTGTTAGCGATTGGATGTCTTCGAGCCCCTCTGGCAGAGCCTAAAACCCGGGACGCTTTTGTTACTGTGGTAGCTGTGTGTTCTGTGGCCAACGTTGATAAACTGCAGTGATGCTGTTGATGTGTGGGCTGAGGAGACTGGAAACGGGCAGCCATCTGCAGGGGAGAGGGTTTAAAGCTCTTAAATTATTCCAATAATCGTATCATTGGCAGTCATTGATTTTGCTCTTCAGGAAACACACGAATGCCGGTCACAGATATGGTGCCAATTCCTGAAGTGGAACAAATGTGCCAGACTCATAGATGGGTGGAGAGCTTAGAGGGGTGGAGAGCTAAGATGGGAGACAGTCACTCCCAATGCCTGGCACACACACGGTTTTCTACTGTGTCAGGGTTGATCAGAAAACCTGTTCCAGTGCAGGCTGCCTTCAGGGTGTGTGTGTGGTGGGAGTGTGGAGGGACAGCTGTGAGGGGTGGAGAAAGCTGGGAAGAAGGGAAATGTAAGTGGTAAGTTCAGGTGCCTGGTACTGGGGAAGGCTGGCCCATGCCTGCAGTGGGGAGCTGTCTGAGGCTGTGGCAGGATCGGAACATGGAAGAACTGTGTTTGGATCAAAGAATGAATCGTTTTGGTGCTTGGTGGGGCCATTAGTGGAGGATGTGCAGGTCAGTGTTGGAAGCACTGTGCAGCTGGGATACAGAGTGGCAATGAAGGGGCCCTGTCCGGAGCTTAGCCAAAAGTTGTTTCCCGCTTGACTTTTTTTTTTAAAGACTTGTGTATTTATTTTTATTGAGAAGATACACAGAGAGGAAGAGGAGAGAGAAAGATCTTCTATCCACTAATTTACTTCCCAAGTGGCCTACCTGCCAGAACTGAGCTGATCTGAAGCCAGGAGCCAGGAGCTTCTTCCTAGTCTTCCACATGGGTGCAGGGTCCCAAGGCTTTGGGCCATCCTTGACTGCTTTCCCAGGCCACAGGCAGGGAGCTGGCTGGGAAGCGGGGCTGCCACAACACAAACCAGTGCCCAAAGGCATCCATCCATATGGGATCCCAGGGGGTGCAAGGCTAGGAGTTTAGCCATTGTACTACCACAGCCAGCCCTTCCCCCTGATTTTTAGGCAATGAATTTATCTTCATTTTGTATCTAAAGACAGAGAGACAAAGAGTTCTCTCATTCTGGCTCACTCCCCAAATGTCTGCAACAGTTGGATGCTGAGGCAGTCCAAAGCTTGGAGTTCCAAACTCCATCTCAGCCTTCCAGGTAACTGGCAGATGCCTGAGCCATTACCCTGCTGCCCACCCCAAGTTTTTCTGATCACTACAGTAGCAAAGATTGCATGAGTTCAGAGTTAAGTCCCAGGTCATGTTCTAAGAACTTGTCCCCTCTCTTCCAAATTCCCGCAGTAAACCTGGAAGGCAGGAGCCACCTTTGTGACCGTTTTACTCATGTCCTAGACCACTCCGGGGGACAGCCAGAGGGAAGCCTCACTGGAACCCAGGCTGCCTGATTCCAGAGCCTGAGCAGTCACCGCATAATGACATCTCTCCACACTATGCTACGTGTTCTTTCTTTTTAGACTCTATTTGGCAGAGTGATACAGAAGGAAAAGGGAGATCTTCCATCTGCTGGCTTATACTCCGCAAGTGCTCACAGCAGCTGGAGCTTGTCCAGGTTGAAATCAGGATTCAGGAACTCCATTCTGGACCCAAGCACTTGGACCATCTTGTGCTGGTATTCTAGACCCATTCTCAGGCAGTTAAATCAGAAGCAGAGTAACCCATACTTGAACTGGCTCTTCCAGATGGGGTGCAGGCATCCCAGGCAACAGCTTAACATGCTGCACCACAGCGCTCATCCCTTCTTAGATGTTTAATTTTTTAAAAATGTAGTGGGACTGTTGTTGAGGTGTGCAGGTTAAGCTGATGCCTGTGGTGCCAGTATCCGTATTGGCACCAGTTCAAGTCCCAGCTGCCCCACTTCTGATCCAGCTTCCTGCTGGTGCACCTGGGAAAGCAGCAGAAGATAGCCCAAGTACTTGGGCCCCTGCTAACTATGGGAGACCTGGAAGAAGCTGCTGGTTTCCAGTTTTGGCCCAGCCCAAGTCTCAGCCATGATGACCATTTGCAGAGTGACCTGGCAAATGGATGATTCTCTGACTTTCAAATAAAATGAATCTTTTTTTAAAAAGTGTTTTTGTTTGTTTGTTTTTAAGAATTGTGTTTGTTTATTTGAAGATAGACTTGGAGAGAGGGTGGGAAGAAGTCAAAGAGAGGGAGAGAAATTTTCCATCTACTTTTTCAGTTCCCAGTTTGCCAGTTGGCCACAACAGCCAAAGCTGGTCCAGGCATAAGCCAGGGGCTTAGAACTCTATCCATGTCTCCCACATGAGCACAGTGGCCTAAGCACGAGGGCCTTCTTCACCTGCTTTGCTAGGCATGTGAGTGGAGATCTGAGTAAGTGGAGTACCAGGACTTGAACTGGTGGTCATATGAGATACCGGCATCATAGACAACGTATAGCCTAACTGGTTGTGTACATGTTGGCTGCCTGTTAGATTTTTATAATCAGAAAAATACTAAGTTTTGTTTGAAAGGAATTCGGAGGTACTGAGAAGTAAAACTGTGATCTAATAGGATATTGGAAATTGGAAATGGGAACATTTTCATCTGTGAATCAGTAGCTGTGTTGGAAGTGTGCTGGTGGCAACACTGAGCCGACGCCTTCAGGGTGTTGGAAAACAAACTTGCATTTATTTCCACAGGGCTGTTTTGCTCCAGGTGCGGTTCCTCTCCAGCTGAGCTCCCATGGAAGGGCTGCTAGCAAGATGCAGAGCATTGTCCGTCCTCGCTGCCGGCAGCCGCCAGCTGCAGGGACATGTTCCCTGCAGGTCTCACCACAGTGCCCCAGGGAAGGGACAGCGCTTGCTCCTTTCTCGCATCTTCCAGCCACAGAACCTGCGCGAAGACCAGGTGCTCTCCCAGGAGGGCAGATCTGGCGAGCTGACTTGTAAGAGCCACCGGCTGATGCTGCAGGTGGGCCTGATCGCCCCAGCCAGCCCTGGCTGTTACCACCTCCTGCCGTACACCGTCCGTGCCCTGGAGAAGCTTGTGCGGGTGATAGACCAGGAGATGCAGGCCATTGGGGGACAGAAGGTCGACCTGCCCAGCCTCAGCCCGGCGGAGCTCTGGCAAGCTACCCAGCGGTGGGACTTGATGGACAAAGAGCTGCTACGACTTAGAGACAGACATGGCAAGGAGTACTGCCTCGGGCCCACTCATGAGGAAGTCATCACAGCCCTGGTTGCCTCCCAGAAGAATCTGTCCTACAAGCAGCTTCCATTCCTGCTGTACCAGGTGACAAGGAAGTTTCGGGATGAGCCCCGGCCCCGCTTTGGGCTTCTACGGGGCCGGGAGTTCTACATGAAGGATATGTACACCTTTGACTCCTCTGCGGAGGCTGCGCAGCACACCTATGGCCTAGTGTGTGACGCCTACCACAGCCTCTTCCACAGGCTGGGGCTAAGGGTCGTGCAGGCCCAGGCGGACGTAGGCAGCATCGGGGGCACGATGTCACACGAGTTCCAGCTGCTGGTGGACATCGGGGAGGACCGGCTGGTGGTCTGTCCCAGCTGCAGCTTCTCGGCCAACACAGAAACGCTGGACTCTTCCCAGACAAACTGCCCCAAGTGCCAGGGCCCACTAACCAAAACCAAGGGCATTGAGGTGGGGCACACATTTTACCTGGGTACCAAGTATTCCTCTATTTTCCAAGCCCAGTTCACCAATGCTGAGGGCAAGCCATGCCTGGCTGAAATGGGGTGCTACGGCCTGGGTGTGACCAGGATCTTGGCTGCTGCCATTGAAGCTCTAGCTACAGAAGACAGTGTACGCTGGCCCCATCTCCTGGCCCCGTACCAAGTGTGCCTCATCCCACCTAAGAAGGGCAGCAAGGAGGCAGCAGCTGCGGAGCTCACGGGGCACCTGTATAATCGCATTGTGGAGGCAGTGCCCCAGCTCCGCGGTGAGGTCGTGCTGGACGACCGGACCCACCTGACCATCGGAAACAGGCTAAAGGATGCCAACAAGCTGGGCTACCCCTTTGTGGTGATTGCTGGCAAGCGGGCCTTGGAGGAGCCTGCCCGCTTGGAGGTTTGGTGCCAGAATACCGGGGAGTCGCTCTTCCTCTCTGAGGAGGGAGTCTTGGACTTACTGGCCCAAGTGCAGGTTGTCTAGCCACCCACCATGCAGCCCTGACTGCATCACAGCACTGCGTGCTCGCACACTCCTTGCCTGGGCTGGTCTCTCCAGACCTGGGGCCGCTCGTGGACCGTCAGCCCTTGTTGGGGAAGCTGATTTGTAGCCCATTATTATGTCACATCATTTGTATTTAAAGTCCTTAATTCAGTCCCTCTTTCTGGACTGGCCAGGCTGCCATGTCCACTCCTTTTTTAGGCCTCTGCTGAGAGGCTGAGAGCTTCCCAGGTGTTGGATGGCCAGGACTGGTGGCCAAAGGGACACCCCCACACACATACACACAATCTGATCATGGGCTGTCGGCTGTACTGTGTCTGGGGAGCAGACCCTCCAGGGCCCCACTACTGCAAAGCTGAGCTGAGAGTGTAGGGCAGGAAGCAGTGAGGTGACTGCCGCCCTGCCTGGTGACTTGGACGTGGTCCCTCGCCGCCTCAGTTGCCCCATCTGTAGCCTGAGAAAATAACCAGATCTGGTCTTCACATTTGTCACTGGGGACGTCTGGCTATCTGTCACCTGGGCCTCCCACAGGGTTGAAAGTGCTGGCTGCTGTCGCCAAAGCCACCTGCAGAGCCTGACCCTGCTGAGGCAGCACAAGCACTGAGACCATACCCTGCTGAGCCAATAAAGTCAGACAGTGAGAGCGCGCCTGGCATGTTCACTTGCAGCAAGGGTAACGTGACACCTGCTATTTAAAGTTTTCCAGGTGATTCTAGAGTGTGTCAAAATCCAGAGACACTCCTTTTTCTGCTCTGTGCTGCCTTCACCCACCTCTTCCCCCCGCAAAAAAAAAAAAAAAAGAGGGTGATTGGGAAGATGTGTTTTTAAAAGTCTCTTCCCACTGGGAGAGCAGCAGGCTTCTGTAGCTGTGGGATCTGGCCCTGGGTGCATTCAGATCTCAGCCATGATGGGGAGAGTGTTTCCACTCTAGAATCCCATGGAAAACTGGGAGTGGACTGGAGCGACCATGGCAAGCCACCACCCAGTCCCATTGCTCGTCCACAGTCACTTGGGCAGGGCTAGCTTTTCCATCTTTGACCCTGTAAGGTCATTATGTATCCAAGTCTAACAAGAATCTGGCAAGGTCAGACATAAGAACTACCAGCTTCCGGTCACCTGCTCCACAGCCCCAGGGCATGGATTTTCCCTCTGCCTCCCTCCTGGGGTCCCAGTAGGTCCTTGTTTTGTCCATGGGCTGCCCACTGAATGCTGGGCCAGGAGCTTGAGCTGTTTCCTTGTGCACCCTGCTCTCTGGCTGACTCCTGTTAAGCAGCTTCCTGGAGACCTACTATTGTGGATGTAAGCCCACCCCCAAGCACACAGTCATGTTTCCCAATGCAGATTCCTGGGTCCAGGGATCCCCTGCAGTATTGCAGATTTTCAGGCTAGGAGAAGCAGCTGAGAGTGAACCTAGAGTGACAAGGAGAAGGCTCCTCCCCTGGCTACACACTGCACCAGCCTCCCACCCCCTGGTACCTCCATGAGGTCCTGACTAGAGTAGCACAGCCAGGGCACTGGAAGCAGACAGTTCTCTGGGGGACTGCAGAGTGGCTTTCTCCAGGTCTCCTGGAAACTGGGCAGTTGCAGAGGAAATGAACCATGGTCCTGTAATGTGTGGAGGGCCTGCACAGGCCCATGCTATGAGGCACACTTAAATACAGTTTCCAGATCTTGGAACTGAGGCGCCCTTTAAGCAGTTTACTGAAGGACACACAGCTGTTAAGGCTTGGAGCTGGCGGTCAGATTTTTAACTAAGTTCTTGCTCCATAAGCGTGTGTATTTATGGAAGGCCAGCTTAATGGTTCCTGAAGCTGGAATGAGCTGCCCCATGCTAAGTGGGGAACCCTGGTGAGGCCCAGCATCACATCCCCTCAGGAGACTAGCTGCGTCAGACTTTGAGCACATGGGGGGGATGAACTGGAAGAAGACAGCAACTTGCCCAAGGTCACAGAGTCCTGATCACTAACCCAGCGCTGTTTCTACTAGTCAGGGGCGGCATGATGGGGGAGATCAGAGCCACGAAGAGACAGTCCTGGACTCAGCACTTCCCAGGGACATGGCCTGAGACGAACGGCCTGCTCTCTGTGTGGCACATTTGTACCTGCTGAGATGCTCCTGGCACCTGCTTTGCAGGGCAGCCTGTGGTTACTGAGCTCTCATGTAGGACAGGTTTGGCTCTTGGTCTGCATTTGACAAACTCCCCTTGCTGGAGCAACTCAGGACAGCCTGCCATGTGAGCACAGATCCTGCTGTTTGTTATCTCAAGACCTGGATCTTGTTGCCCAGGGAGAATGCTTTAGCTGCCTCCTTGGGGAAAGCCACAAGCAAAATTTGGTGAGGCGTGTGCTGTGTTGTCATTCCTTCGAGAAAAAAACATACATGCATACTGTGTAGCTCCCTTGCTGCTGATCTCACCGCAGGTACCTTTTGCCCTGTAACCTGAAGCATTGAGGATCCTGGCACATCAGCAGGTGCAGGCCATTTTCACTGCTCATCCCTTGGGGAGATGAAGAAGCAGTCTCAGCTGTGAACTGTTTGAAGGAATTAACACTCAGGGACAAAGGCTGGTGTGCAGCAAGACCACAGTATAAATCAGGCTTAGGATATAAATCAAGGCTCCAATAATATTCCATGTTAATGGAGGAAACACCTGAACTATCAATAAAGGAGCTTTACAGAAACCTGCCAAAAATTGCCATTTCCTTAACTGCTTCAATGCCAGGTCTCCAAGGAGTTTCTCCAACATGTTTCCTGCCAAGATGGCAGAGTGCTTTTGGAATGGATTGTTACACAGCCATGACTGCAGATGCCTTTGTTTTAGAGCTGCCAAAAGGACTTAAGAAAAATTCCAGGTAGAAAATGGGGAAACATTTATGGCAAGTTTAAATAACATTAGGAAAGCCAACAAAGTATGTTCCTTAATTTTAAGAGAATGACGGTGACCCAGATGAGATTGGAGTTAGCCTGCCTGGGCCAGTTAACAGCTGCACAATCTTGTGCACCTCAGTGTCCTCGTCTGTGAAATGGGGACCATTGCAGCCAGTCTATAGTAGTGCCTGGGAAGTGGCAGCCATTCATATCCTAAGGGATACTCGACACAGAGGAAAGGCTGGTGTTCTGGGAGCCAGCAGAACGGGGGGCGTCAGTTAGGCTCCATGTTCGTGCAGGTGACCCAAGGTTGCTAATGAGCTGCACTGTTGAAGCTTAATGGTCCTTTACTAATTGACTGTGGGACCAGGAGAAAGAACAGGAGGCACTCAGTAGTTAGAACTGAGGATGCCCGGTGCAAGAGCCGCACTTGGCTGCAAAGACTCACAAAGCCCCTTGGCTGACTGGAAGCCTGAGGGAGTGCGGGGACTCTGTTGGGGTTTGTGCAGGTCGCAGGTCCTTATCACTGGGTTGGGGACATTGCCTGACTCCGTGGGCATCAGGACTTTGCAGGGCTGCAATGGGCAGGGCAAGGGTGCCTGAGTCTGTTGCAGCATCCTCAGAGGCTGGGGCTGGTCTTGCCGTCTCCTGAAGGGTTTAGCAGAGTCCTGAATTCAAGTCCTGACTCTGCTTTCCACTAGCTAGCTCACCATGAGTGGATTACCTAACCTCGCCGCCAAGTGCCCAGCAGTAGAATGCAAGTAGAATGGTGCTGCAGAACCAACTGCTGGGGCTGGGGTTCTGGGGGTGGTGTCATGGGTGAGCCCACCCACATGAAGTCCCAGGGCTTGGCCATGGCCACTGTGGTCACGGCCAGGCCAGCACGCCACACCCCGCGGTATGCATGTGCAAGGCTTCTTCCTCACCGGGCACTTCCTCCCCAGTTCTTTCTTGAATGTCACTACCCCTGGACGTTCAGAATAACCCACTTCTTCGTCTTGCCGCCCACCAATACCTATTGTATACCACCCAGGTGCTGAGCAAGTGTGGTGCTAGGTAGGCCCTGGCAGTATAAGCACACGGCTCAGGGTTCTTGGCTCAGTTGGTACAGAAGTATGGGAGACGTGTCCCATGATGAGAATAGTGATGGTACTGGTGCCAAGGGGAGGCGTAGGGCAAGCAGGAAGGGCTTCCTGGAGGAGGCAGTAGAACTAGATTGAAAAGTAGGTGTTACATAGTGACAGGAAAACATTTGGGAATGGAGAGAGAGCAGAAATTGGGAGGAAGAATGGTCCAGGCAGAAGAAAGAATGTGCAAAGACCCAATGTGACAAGCTGGGAAAAGAAAAACTAAGAGTCATTGATCAAACACTTCGTGTGGGGGATTCCCTTGGTTCACATCACTCACTCCAGCTCCTTGGCAGCTGCAGGGGAAGGCAGTTAGCCTGCTCACACTGCAGGCCAGGAGACAGGCACAGGAGCCTCCACCACGTGCCCAGGGCCTGCGGCTGGTGAGCCGGAGCTGGGGTTGGAGTGCAGGCACTCGGCCACTTTACCCTCCTGCCCCACAGCTGATCACATCCAGGGTGGTTGGCCTCAGTCGGCTGGAGAGGTGGTGAGGGCTCAGGTCCTGAATGACCCTGAATGACACACCCAGGACACAGATGAGGGAAAGGGGCTGTTAGGGCTCAGAGAAGGGCAAGGACATGGTGTGGTTGTTTTCTTGGGAACAGGTCCCATTCAATAATGTGACACTGAAGGCACTGATGGCTGGTCTGTGACAGGTGCAGGATAAATGTTCCCAAGGAAACAGACTAAGGGCACACTAGAGAGGAGGAATGAATGAGGTTCTGGCTCTGACACCCACTAGTGGAGTGACTGTGTGCCCCTACCTTCTGTATAAAATTGAGGTCATGGACTCGAGAGGGTGGCTGCTACATTTAAAGAGCACCCATGTGTGGCGGTGGACACAGTGCCGGGATTCTGAGTGAGTGCTGGCCAGAATCTACCCCTTCCTAGCTTGTGCACCTGCTGGCAGTGGGTTCATAGGGCTTTTTGGTGCCAGTTCTCCAGACAGAAGTTAGGCGGCCCTACCTCCTTCAGGGAGGGGTCCTGAGGGTGGAGGGTGCAGATGCTCTGCCCTCCATCTAGGGGTGTGGATACAGGAGCAGATGTCTTGTCCTCCTTCACCTCCACCACCACAAACGAGGCTTCTCTGGCCTAAGTCCTTGCGCAGGCTACTGGAGCCCAAGACATGGGCACAGTGGGACAAGGGTTAGCCCCACCTCCCATGTAAGAAGCAGGGTCTTGCTGGTCCCCTGCAGTGCACCCAGAGCCCTGGCATGCACTCAGTCCTCTGTCCTGGCTCCTGAAGACCTGCTGCAGCTGCAGGGCCTCTGGGCTGAGGCTCTGGTGCTGTGGACCCGACGAGGCACACTCACTAAGCAGGATGGGCTGGGTACGGCGCAGACTTGGTCCTAGTCAAGTTCTAGTCCTTCCTTCTGCAGGTCAGAGGCTGCAAGGCCCAGCCCTGAGAAAGCTCAGGGTGGAGGGAGGCCTTGCACTCTGAGCATGCAAACACCAGAATGCCAGGTGCACCCTAGCCACCCTGTGCTCCCTCAGCCTCCATGTGCTGGCAACCAGAAAGGACAACAGGATCTAGAGGAGGCAATGCCTGTGGGCCTGGCAGGTGAGCAGCTATCCTGGAAGTGTAGGGTGGCTGTGGGGGGTTTCAGTCTGGGAATGCTGTTGCTGATGCTTGTGTGAGCAAGTGGCGGTCCAGGATCAGGACAGTGCTTTATTCTTCCATTCATTAAATGCTTCATTTGTTCACCCATCCACCCACTCAGTGCACTGGCCAGCACATACACATACACACAACTCCCACTGTGTCAGGTGCTGGGCACTGAGATGAATACCCATTTTACTTGCTGGGGTTTGGGGTGCGCAGACACCTGAGTGCAGGGCAATGCTCCAGGGGCCAGGACAGGTGTCTGGAGGGTGAGGATGGAGCTGGGCATGGGGCAGGGGCCAGCTCAGCTGGCAGCAGGGAAGTTTGCGGCAGGTGCAGTAGGCAGACAGAATTGGGCACAGGCACAGGGACTGCAGCAGTATGGTGTATGAGAACCATGGTCCAGCTGGTGAGGGCAGTGGGGAGGAGGAAGCCAGCAGAGGTCAGGATTGAGTGGAGCCAGCATATATGGGTACACAGGACTGCCCTTCAACTTGAAGGCTGAGGGTTCAGCTTGGCCTCTCCCTGTACCCTTTAAGCACCAGCTGGTACAGACCTCTGGAGAAACTGCCTGAGGGGATGCCAAGGTCATGGGCAGGAGCCCTGGGGCCACCTCAGGGTCCTGCTCCCAGCCTTCCTCGCCTCCCTCTGGGGCATGCACCAGGGCAACATTCATTTCAGGTGTGTCTCAGGAAGGGATGGGATTATCTCATGCCTCTGCTAGGTTCCTAGGGTTGCTGAGTGCTTGGGGTATGCTGGGCAGCAGGTTATGGTATTGACCATCCTGCGTCCCATGGTGCTCCTGATCCCCCAGGTTTGGTGGCGTTTTTGCCTCAACTTAGATGGTCAGATTGGGGCTGAGAGTGGTGACTTGCACACAGCCTTCCATGGCAGAGATAATCCATATTAGTGCCTGTGGGATATCAAGAACGAGGCCGAGTGCTGGCTGAACATGATCTTGCAGGTGGGGACTCACATTTCATGCTGCTTACATAAACAATGCACCTTACAGGGACGTGCTGCTTTCCTAACATATTGTCCCCATTTCTTAGATGGAAAACGTGAGGCCCAGACATGACAGGAACTTGGTAGTAAATTTCCAGGCACTGGGCTTTCTACCCAGGACTCTAAGCCAGGGCTCTTTTCAGGCTGGCTTCATCTCTGGGAGCCAGACAACTCCTGAGGGGTGGGCCTCTGGTGGAGAGGCCCATCCTAGAGCCTGGGAGGTCCCTTAGCCAGGCAGAGGACATCGCTAAAGAGCACGTGCTGGCCACAGACTAGTGCTACCTGAACACTAACCAGTGCCTAGGGCCAGCCCTTTAATCCTCTGAACCCATAATGTTGCTGACACTCCCTATGGATCTGGAAACTGAGGCACAGGAGCTCAAGGGGAGTGCCCAGCATCACACAACTGGTAGGTGGCACAGCTGAGCTTGGAGGCCTGCCGTGCTGGCTCAGAGTCTACATATTTCACCACTTCGCCTGGGCTGCAGGGAGTGTCAGCATCCACAGAGCTTGGATGCAGATGGGCCCTGGGTTACTGCCAGCCTTAGGGCTGCGCCCACCATGTCCAACAGGCCTGGCCACAGTCAGCGCCTCCGGGCTTCACTTGGAATGGCCTCTTCCCTCCCACGTCATGTTACTCTCAGTGCTCCTGCATCCCAGGACTCCTTGCCGTGAAGCTCCAGGGAGAGCACCTCAAGAGGATGTGGCTGCTGGCATCACTAGGTGTCAGGTTTGCTGCGGTGGGCGTCTGGCAAAGCCGGAGGGCCTGGGTTCAGGCTTCAGCTCTGTGCCCAAGCCCAGGTTCCCCTAATGTGCCCCGGCAGGTGGGGTGGCGGGAGGCAGCGAGTACTTGGAAGGCATCCCCAGCTGCAGGCTCCAGCTTGGCCAAGCCCTAGCCCTAGTCAGCCTCCATGGGCATTCAGGAAGTGAGTCAGCAGCTGGGAACTCCTCTTAGAAAAGATGTACTTACTTGAAAGGCAGACAGAGTTATGGGGGTCAGGACAAGGGAGAGAGATCTTCCTTCTGTGGTTCACTGCCAAATGGCCACAATGGCTGGAACTGAGCCAGGCAGAAACCAGAAGCCTGGAACTCCATCCAGGATTCCCACATGAGTGCAGGGGCCCAAGGACTAGGGCCATCCTCCTCTGCTTTCCCAGGTGCATGAGCAGGGAGCTGGGTCAGAAGTGGAGCAGTCAGGACTTGAATCAGTGCTCCAGTATAGGATTCTAGCATCCAGCATTGTAGGCAGTGCCTTAATATGCTCCTTCCTGTGTCCCTCTCAATTAACTAAATAAAAGTTAGGCCCTTTACACAGAGTTCTGACCAATGGGCGAGGAGTCCCTAACCAGGCAATAAGACAGAAAGGTCTAACTGTGGCCAAAAGCAGGCTCAGAGCGGCTGGCCTGGCATGGCCTGTACCTTCAGGCAAGCTGCCTGATTCCCAGTCAATACTCCACAGGCAGTTTCTCTTCCCCAAACAACAGTGCACACAACACAAACCTGCTAATTAGCCCATCTTGAGGCCAGCAGCTGGTTTGAGTTTAATGATGTATTAGTCAGATTTGCTATAGAGACAAACAACCCTCAAATCTCAGTGCTTATTAAGATCTCTTTTGTAGAATAATCAGGGGGCTGCAGGCCAGCTGCTGCGGCTCAGCTCCACTGGGCACCCGAGTGGAGGAGGAGCCCTTCGCGGGAAATGTGTTCTCACTGCAGAGGGAAAGGAGCGTACGCCCACCATAACAGCCCTTAAGCTGGTGTGGAAGAGGCTTCCCCCTGGTGGAGGGAGTGGGCACTGCAGGGAGCCCTCTGCTGCTACAGGAAGTAAAATCCCCCAGTTATGGAGGTATAATAGCTGCAGATGGAAACGCAACCATGCCCCACAGGCAAAAGGAGAAAGGGATTATAGCTGAAAAAACAAAATCATAAACAGTAAAAACTGAATGGGAACTCAGAGGCCAATGCCTGACCGAGTCTGTCCCAGTTCTCAGTGCAAAGGTGAGGGGAATCAACAAACTTTCCAGTACCAAATGTCCCAGTCTAAAACTCCAGAAATGCACAGATGGTGTGGCCCCATCTCAGCCCAAGGCTTCCACAGGGCCTCTAAACAGTGCCCTCCCACCGTACCCCAGTGCTCAGGAAACGCTGGAGTCAGGGCTCGCAGCCGCTAGGTCTCAGTGAGAACAGTTCCTGCTGCGTGCACTCGAGGGGTGGCAGCCCTGTGGCGTCATGGCACCTGAGCACTGAATCCCGAGGCAGCCTCTGCAGCTGGCAGATTATGGGCTGGCTGCTGGGACCCCGCTGTGGAGCCCCCTCAGAGATGGCGTCCATGGACGCCAGGACAAGGCACAGAGGTCTGTCAGTTTGTAAGCAGTTGGGCCAGAGAAACTGTGGCTCAGAGAAGCCTGCAGCTCGTCTCCTCATGATGCCTCAGGCCGTGTGTCCAGCAGGTTCCAGGTAGAGGCAGGTGAGGGACAAGATCCAGTGGGGCCTGGCTCCCATTGCCAGGCTGCGTCACTTCACCTGATGTACCTTCTTGCCCCGGAGGTAATTCTTGCAAAACGGAGAGGATCCGACACACACCAGAAATGCTGGGGTCAGGGCTTTGATGAAGTACCTGTGGACGCAACACAAGAGAGGGGCTTGTCTGTGTTACAACCTTCACCATCCACGGCTCCCACAACACTCAAGGTGGGCTGCTGGACGCGAGTGGCCATTTAAAGGCAGGTGCAGCAGGTTTGGCTGCTTATAAACCTGGCAAATGAGCATGACCTGCTCCCTGACAACTTAGCCAGTTCCCCGAGGAAGGCTTCCAGCACAGGGTGTGTTTGTGGCCACACCCAAACCTGCTTTCACTTGCTCATTCAGCATTCAGTGAGTGCTCAGGACAAGCCATGCTCTAACCTGAAAACACGGAGACTAAAACAAAACATGAGAACCACTGCCCTTGCTCTCAAGGAAAATAGGGCAGGAAAATAGACAGCCAGGGAAGGACAGCAAGGCACAGCTGCTCCGCCCCACCCCTCTGCGGGGAAGGGAATCAGGAAAGCACTTCTGGAAGATGCCAGCTCTGCACTGGGCTTTCACTTGGAGGAGGGGGAGGGGGGCTAAAGCCAAGAGATGCAGTTTGCTGCTGCCATAGTAAGGCAGAAGGGCCGCGGCCTCCAGGAGCGCCCAGTGGGCCTGTTTGCTGACTCCATTCTGTTTAGGGTCTACAGCCACCAGGAACTGGCCCTGGAGAGCCTGTCTGGGTTAGTAACTTAAAGGCAAGTGATCATTTCTGTCCGCCGGCTTTCTGTTTAGATTTCTCTTTTAGTTTTGGAGATGGGGTAGAATGAACCTCAGGTCTTGATAGGATTCCTAGTACTTTGCTTACAATGGAGAAAGTGAACAGCTAAAAGAAATGACCATAAACTAGGGGAAGGAAGATGAAGAACCAGAGAAAAATGCCACCTAGGGAGGTACTGATTGGATCTGAGAAATCTCCTTTGGTTGCCTACTGAGCAGGACACCCCGCAAGTCCTGGTGCCTCACCTGTCCCAGCCACACTGTCCTGCCCCTCTGACTTCAGGCTTGCTGTGAGCTTCTGATCCCCACACTATTCTGCACGTTTGACCTTAGCCCCCTGTGACCCCACATAGGCCTGTGAGGATGAGTTTCGAGTTCCTGTGCTCTCAAACAGGGAGAAGCAGGTGGGCCAGAGCCATCAGCACCAGCCCTAGCCCCGCAGGCCTGCCCACCAGCGCCAACACCCTTGCATTCTTCACCCTAAGGGCACAAAGCTACAAGGAGGAAGGGGGACACATCCAGCTGTCTCAGACACAAAGCCAGGCAGCTCTTCTCTCCATTCACTTTGCCTGGTGGTGGCTGGGGGTAGCTGGGCTGTCATCAAGCTGCAGCCTGGCTACCCAATGGCCCAGATGTGTCTCTCTGGTTGCTGTCTGTCCCAGGGCAGAAGGGAGGGCACACAGGACATAATGAGGAGCTGGTAGATGCCTGGGATGGAGCCTGAGCATCTTCTTGGGTCTCCCCAGCCCCGAGGTCACTCACCTGGGATGCTGCAGCACCTGCAGCAGGGTACTAGTGGGAGGTACCCGGTAGAGCTCTGCCCTGTCTTCATCCTCAAAGTAGATCTGCAAGATGAGCACAGGAGCATGAATAACACAGCCAGGGGCTTCAGCAGCCAAGGGTCCTTCAAACAGCTGCATGTGTGTGAGCCGAATGCCCTTCGCACAGCCCCCTGCTGTGCATGCAGTCCCTCCCAGGACACTATAAGAAGGATGCCATCCACTCTCAGAGGAGAGCTGAGGTGGCGCGAAGAGGGTCTGTGCATGCCAGAGGGTCTCTGTGCACGGGGCTGTGAGGAGCAGGGATTGTCGGCACAGCAACAGCACAGCACACCAGCCAGTGCTGGGAGTGGCCAGCCCAAGCAGTGTGAGAGCCCAAGAAGGATGATGAGGCTAATCATGCCTGGGGAACAGCCAGGATGGGGGTCCAAACCCCACTCAACTGAGAAGGCAACAGGGTGAGGATGTTCCTATTGGGTGGCTGAGCGGTGCGGGATGCCGGAGTCAGCTAGGCTGAGGAAGGCACAAGGCTAGGCCGTCCTAATGTGGGGAACCAGAGTGCAAAAGGGGTGAGGGAGGTGCCAGGGGAGGCGCTACTGAGCAAGCACACAGAGATATCAAGAATCAAGGCACTGTTACAGATAAAGAGTGACAAAAAACCCTACACTATTAGATTAAAATCAGAGATGCTGGGGTGGGCATCTGTTCTAACAGTTATAATACCAGTCGGGTCACCCGCTTTGCATATCACTGCCTGGGTTTGAGTCCTGGTTCTGCTCTCCATTCCAGTTTCCTGCTAATGCAGGTGACAGCTCAAGTCGTTGGGACCTTGCCATCCATACAGGAGACCTAGACTGAGCTCCTGGCCGCAGCCGTGGCTGTTGCTGACGCCTGGGCCATGAACCAGTGGAGAGGTGATCTCTCCCAGGCTGTCTCTCCTGGGCTGTCAGACGCATTTTTTTTAAAAAAGAACTGGAGATGACAGTGAGACCCCAGGTGTTTACACACACACTCATCCTCACTGTCTCTACCCCTGAGCTGCCGGCACTGGGAAGGCATTCGAGCAGTCACAAATTCTGAAAGGGAAGGAGCCCCAACATTGTGCAGCTTGACAGCCCCGCCACCCTGGGTGGCCAGAGTGCTATCACCATTATGGGACACATGGAAATCCTGCACCACCTGACTCTCTGTGGTATTCCAGCCAAACACAGACCTAATCAGTCACACGGAGACGAGAGGTCAGTCCACAGTCAATCGGCTGCAGCCTTCAAAGGGGAGTTGAGGAGCGTGAGGAACTCTTCCACACCAAAGGTGCCCAGAGGGCCGTGGTCACTCACACTATGAGCCATTCTGAGTGGGTTCTTTTGCAACAGGATCATTTCTGAAATCTTACTGGAGTCTGAGGCCTTAAGGGTTAGAGTATCAGTGTTTCCTATCCGTAAGGGCCATTTGAGGATGATGAAGGAAAATGCCCTTGCTATAAGGATACAGGATGAAGTATTCAGGGATGATGGGCATCAGCTAGCATCCTACTCCCCAGTGACTACAGAACGACAAGTGCTTTATACTGTGAGTTATGCAGAGGTGTTTTGCATTCTAACAGGGAAACAGCATTTCACTTTAGAAAGAAAATCTAGGACCCAGCGCGGTGGTCTAGTGGCTAAAGTTCTCGCCTTGAACACACCAGCATCCCATATGGGTGGCCAGTTATAATCCCAGCAGCTCCACTTCCCTTCCAGCTCTTTGCTTGTGGCCTGGGAAAGCAGTCAAGGATGGCTCAAAGCCTTGGGACCCTGCACCCACATGGGAGACTCAGAAGAGCTCCTGGCTTCGGATTGACTCAGCTCCAGCCATTGTAGCTGCTCTGGGAGTGAATCATCAGATGGAAGATCTTCCTCTCTGTCTCTCCGACTTTCCAATAAAAATAAAATAAATAAAAAAGAAAGAAAGAAAATCTAAGCACACTACAGTATATGTGAACCTTGAAGACCCTACGATAAGTAAACAAATCAAACAAAAAGACAAATACTGCCTGGTTCTACTCTTACAAGGATGGGACCTTGAAGAATCAAATTCAGGGTGACAGAAAGTGACGGCTACCATGGTGGCCGGAGAAGGGCGGAGTGTCTTCCTCCAACTAAACCTGGAACGGATGGTGGAATTCTGGCAGGCCCCTCAGGCAGTGAGACCACCGTTCACCAAAGAGGGGCACAGACCCATATCCCTCTCCCACACCAATAAGGGCCAAAGTGACCCCGTCTCAGCTTCCGTGTCAAGGAGAGTATAAAAAGCCCCTTCCCCATCTCTTCCTCGCTCTTCTTCCTCTGCAGCCCAATCCTTCACGTCTGTCTTTCTGCTGCACGGGGAAGAGAAGCCCGTGACTGTGGTTCCCTGAAATAAAGGCCATCTAAATTCTTTTTATATATTTGGCTGAACTATTCTTTCGTTGGTGGCCGACGAATCTAACAGAAAGCAGAACACTGGTTGGCAAGACTGGGTTGGGGAAGCTAAGGAGCTTCTGTTGTTGTTTTTTTTTTAAAGATTTATTTTTATTGGAAAGGCATATGTACAGAGAGAAGGAGACACAGAAAGATCTTGCATTCATTGGTTCACTCCCCAAATGGCCACAATGGCTAGAGATCAACTGACCTGAAGCCGGGAGCCTGAATCTCCTCTGGTTCTCCCACGTGAATGCAGGGTCCCAAGGCTTTGGGCCATCCTCTACTGCTTTCCCAGGCCACAAACAGGGAGCTGGATGGGAGGCAGAGCGGCCGGGACACAAACCAGCATCTAAATGGGATGCCAGCACTTGCAGGTGAAGGATTAGCCTGTTGAGCCAGTGTACCAACCCCAGATTTTCTGTTTTATGAGCACAAAGTTCTAGTTCAGAAAGATGACTTACCTCCAAATTATCAGGGCGGTATTTTTGCTCCGAGTCCCAAGAGGGAGTCTCACCAAACATCACCATCAGATGATCAATAAACCTAAGAATACAAAAGGTTTCAATGACTCACCATCTGTTTTCCCACATCAGTACCCAGACAGCAATTCACAAAGAAGACAAGAACATGCAACGTGACATGCAGGCTTCACCTCTTCTGACAGCAGTGCCCAAGGAAGTACCTGGTGTCCTCGTGGAAAGCTGAGATGAAGTCTGACTGGGCGTACTCGGGGTACAGGAGGAGCACAGGCCAGCTCAACCTGCCCTGGTCATCCAGACTCAGTCGGGCTCCGCAGATGTTATCAGAGCTGAGTCCATGCAGGAAAAGCTCCCCACCACCTGCTGGGGCCAAGTCCTCATCCTGGTTCACAGCGTCAGAAACAAGCCTAATGTTCCTAGCCTGGGTTAAAGACAAACACATACATACCCCGTATATATGAGGGTACTGCAAACTCATTGCTGAAACTGGGAAAGTCAAACAACGTGAGCTCCCCGGGGCCAGCTCTATACACGGTTCCCCCTCGTTATCCCTGAGGCCAGGCACACAGGAGGCACCACTTGTTTAACTCACCCACACCAAGATGTCTACCTTGCACCAGACCCTGTGTCACAGAGATGAACTGTGTGCCCACCCTCAAGCCCCCAGGCAGCCACACTAATGGGAATGACAGCTATGGAAATAATTATGTAAAGCAAGGAGTTAAACTGCAGAGCTGCGGACAATAGAATATTTAGTTCAACCTGGGGGCTGGGGGTAACTGGAAAATGCTAGACCTTGAACAAAGACCTTAACAAAGCAGAGAGCTGGGAGGGTCATGCAGAGCATTCTACCACAAGCTGCAGCACGTGCAAGGGCACCGAGGACATCAAGAGCATGGCTATGCAGAAATGCTAGACGTTTCAATTCAGCTCAGACATGGAATATCACATTGATTTAAGTCTGAATGTCTTACAAAAATGAGATAAACCAAAGATCTGACGAGCAGGGTCACCTTTTCCGTGTGAGCATGGGACTTCCTAAGGTAACACATGAAGGGGAATCATGAACCACAATTACCTCTGAGCAGGTCCCTCAATCACGGACAGGCAAATGTTTCCTAAAGACAGGCCAAATGGTCTGTTGAAATTAACTAATTAACTCTGCCACAGTTGTGTGAAAACAACAACAGGGAAGACATAAATAGACAAGGCTGTGTTGACAAGGTTTGCTATCTGTGTCTTCACTCATCAGCAAAAACACAGCTTGCATGTATGGCTTAGTACACTGTTGACAGAAATCCTAACGTAAAGTTTAAGATGAAGGGTTGGATTCAAGGAGAGAACTAAAAACTAACAATAGTAAATAATAATAAAAAATTAAGTCTATATGCAAATGTCTGGGCATTCCAATATTCTTAAGAAAATCACCAAATCCCTCACAGTGAATGAGGATTAGAGGGAAGTCTGCAGTCCTGTGCTGTTCAAGTTCTTGCTACAGGGTTCAGGTTAAGACTGTGCATCCTGGGGAAGGGCTAATGGAGCCTCTTTCATTACTGTTTAGTCCTCAGAGTCAACAAGTGACTTAAATGGGTGCATAATTTCACTGAACAAAGTGAAATCAAACACTTACTGCACAACCTCCTGGCAGGTATTAGCCCACTGTGAAGAGCAGCCAAGTTAAATGGGTGACTTGCTCAGCTCAAGGTTATAGCAGGCCTTGGGTCAGATCACAATCATTTCAAACTACAGGGAAGAGAGGGAAGGGAGAGTGGGGTTTTGATGTCACAGTCTGAAGAGCCACTTCGTCAAAATCTCACACTCTCAGGAGTAACAGAGCGTGGTGAGGAGCAAGGACCTAGGCTGACACACATTGGCGGCAGGGTGCTTCCTCACTTCTCAGATCCTAAAGCATCATCTAGGAGGGCAGGAGCAAGACCTCGCTCAGGCAGCTGCACCACACGTAATAAGGTAAGGCTTCCCTCAGAGCAAGCTTTCAGGATGTTCCTGAGACGGCAAATGCGCACAGTGGAGGAGGCCACTGACCTCGGGGGGGTACGACACTGGGCCTTTGTCACTCTGCTGCATGGAAGTAGGAGGACAACAGACACATCCCCTAAGGGAACGCATCCCAGCAGAGCTTCCCAACAGGCTTGGTAGGAGTTGCAGAAGGGTCCACATGACAATGAGGGGCTCAAGGATTGAGAACTCACCTTGACAGCCTCCAGTAGAGCCTCATTCTGATTCTGCTCCTTCTGTTCTTTCAGCTTGGCTTTCCTCAGATCCCTTTGTTGAGTGCGCTGAAAGAGATTCAACCTATCAGCTCCAGGGAACAGACTTCCTCTTGGTACCCCCACCTGTTCCCAGCTTACTACCTCTGGTCTCCAGCCAACCCACGCTACTATGTCAAGGGATGCCAATGGCCAGAGTCAGCTCAACAAACATTTACAAAGCACACCCTAGATATCAGGTCTGGAGGCAGTGAGAATTTATACCTAGTCCTTGGAGCCAAGGAGCTCCGAAATCTACTGAGGGTTATAGACAAGTGAAGAGGTGTGTCCCATGCTGCTTTGCCGGTGTGAACAGAGTGCAGGTCACAGAGCAACAGCATGCCCCTGGGAGGTTTGTCTCCAGGGTACATGAGCACCCTATGGTGAACCACAACTTCTCTGGCTGGAGCTAGACAATGACAATGCACTGCAAAACCCAGAGGCTCGGCCTTTTGTGCAATGATGATCCCTGAGAGAGAGGGACCATCCATCTACTCAACCTGTCAGAAATGCAACTGATCCTGCTCTTACTCTCAGAATGGTAGGTTAAGAGGAATCAGCAAACATTTTCTTCTACATAGGGTTAGATCATAAATATTTTAGGCTTTTTGGGTTGCATATAGTCTTTGTGGCAGGTTATCTGGTTGTGCCTGTTTGCAATCCTTTTATAAGTGTGAAAAACATATCTAGCTCACGGAATGTATAAAAACAGCTGGATTTAGTTGGTGGCCCCATTCTTGACACTTGCTCTAACAAATGGCCTGAATTATCCCTTGTTTTCTCCCCAAGAGCCAACAGAGCTCCTTTACTGTAAGTCTACGCTTTCAGGAACACAAGTTAATAATCCTTGGCCACTCCCTCTCCGGCCTCGTCTGCCAAGGGAGAGCTGTGCAAATCCTCCCAAGGCCAGGGAGTTTGATCACACTGCTGAGGGTGGCTCTCTGTAAGAACCTTGTACGTCTATGTCCAATTCTGCCTCCCAGTTGGACCAGACCTGCCCACAGTGTCTGCTCTACATCAGAGAATGATTCAGACAGGTCTGGACTCTGTGTCAGGTTGTTTTCACTCTGATGAATAGGGTGCAAGGGAGGGTGCAAAGCAGGATGTAAGGCTGCCTGGTGTAAGGCTCACCTGAAATGTGGGATCCTGGCAGGCCCCATAGAAGGGGATGCCTACTGGTTATAAGGAACCCAAACTTGGGTATACTGCTTTTCCTTTTAAAACAACTTTGTTGAGGTATAATTTGCAGAACAATTTTAAGCACACACTTGCATGCGATCATTTATACTTCAGTCTCCAACATGGCAATGATGACAGAGAACACGCTGCCCTAGAAACTCTCCTCATGCTTCTTCACAATAATTCCTCCTCCCATCACTGACAAATTTCTTTATGTGGCCAAGTAGTATTTCATGGCATGATTACATCACAATCTGTTGATTCAATATCCTGTTACTGGACATAAAAGCTGTTTCTGAGCTGTGGTACACAGAACAGGCTACCTTCTTATACAAGTCTTCTGTGAACATGTCTTATTCTCCTTTAGGTAGATACCTAGAACTGAAATAGTGAGGTCACAGGATAGGCATACAAAACTGCCATCAGATTTCCAGAGCGGTTTTGCCATTTTCTGTCCCACTGGCAAAGTATGAGAGTTCCAGCTGCTATATATCTTCATTAATACAGTCTAAAACTTTAATCATTTTGGGTCTGATGTGATATCGTAGCGGTTAAAGTCCTCGCCTTGAACGTGTTAGGCGCCGGTTCTAATCCTAGTGGCCCTGTTTTCCATCCAGCTCCCTGCTTGTGGCCTGGGAAACAACCTTTAAAAAAAAAACAACTTTAATAATTTCCAGGAATTGTGAATTCCTACTATGTTGTATATCTTCTTGTGACTTCACTGTAAGTCTTCATTGAGTGCAGGGTCCCAAGGCTTTGGGCGGTCCTTTACTGCTTTCCAAGACCAGAAGCAGGGAACTGGACGGGAAGTGGAGTAGCCAGAATATGAACTGACATCCATATGGGATCCCAGCACAAGGACTTTAGCCACTAGGCAACTGCATGGCCCTAGAAATATTTGCATATTTTGCCACAAAATTTTCTAAATTTTGGTCTGTCCTTTTTGCATGGAAGTGATCCTTTATGCATTCTGGAGATAAAATTCTTTTAGATACATATTACAATTACTTTCACCCATTCAGTGTCTTATATTTTGTAAACCAGAATATTTTAATTTTTTTTTACTAAATCTCATCTATGATAATCTTGTCTTTTTTTGGCTAGCTTATTTGAATTCTTAATTAAAGTGAAATTCATGTAACATAAAATTTACTGTTAACCATGCTGACGTGTATAATTCAGTAGTACTTAGCACATTTCCTATATTGTGCAATCATTAGCTCGACCTAGTTCCATAATATTTTCAATACTCCAAAAGGTAACCCCAAACTCCCACCCACCCTGGAAACCTGCTGTCTCTATAGATTTAACTGCTTTGGATGTATCACAGAAATGGGATCATACACTATATGGCCTTTTATTGGCTTCTTCCATGTCATACGGTGTTCTTGAGGTCCATGCACACTCCAGCATGTGTCAGCAACTCTTATTTTTTGGTTAGGAAAGAATACATTCAGGACTGGTGCTAATGCACAGTGAGCAAAGCCACTGTTCTTGGGCCCTGCATTGTAGGCTATTGGCTAAATCCTCGCCTTGCACCTCCTGGGATCCCATATGAGCGCCAGTTTGCGTCCTGGCCACTCCACTTCTCATCTAGCTCCCTGCTGTGGCTTGGGAAAGCAGTTGAGGATGGTCTAAAGCCTTGGGACACTGCACATGGGAGACCTGGAAGAAGCTCTTGGTTTCAGATTAGCTCAGTTCCAGCTGTTGCGGCCACTGGGGGAATGAACCAGCAGACGGAACACCTTTTGATCTCTCCTCCTGTCTCTGTAAATCTACCTTTCCAATAAAAATAAATGAATCTTAAAAAAAAAAAAAAAAAAAGGCAAGGCACGGTTTCACTTCTGTATCTTAAAAAAAAAAAAGCCACTGTTCTTGGTGCCTGCATTCCACATGGGCACCAGTTCGAGCCTCAGTTAATCCACTTCAAATTCAGCTTCTTGTTAACGCACCTGGGAAAGCAGTAGAAGATGCCGTAAGTCCAGGGGCCCTTGCACCCATACGGGAGACCTGGAAGAAGCTCCTGGTGTCTAGCTTTGGACTGGCCCAGCTCTGGCCGTTGCAGCCATTTGGGGCATGAACTCTCCCTCTCTCTGTAACTCTGCCTCTCAAGTAAAATAAATAAATCTTAAAAAGATTTTTAAAAACCCTGTTTTTGATAGGTACATCACATATCATTACCTATTCATCAGCTGTTGGACATTTAGATGGTTTCAACCTTCTGGCTACTGTGTGAACAGTGCTGTTGGGAACAGTCACACACAAGTACTTGCTTGAATACCTGTGTTCAATCCTTTGGGTGTACAGGTAGCAGCATCAAGGCTGAATCATAAGGTAACCTAGGTTTAACATTTCAGGAATTTCCAAACTGTTTTCCAAAATAACTGCACCATTTTACATTCCTACCCACAACATATAAGGGTTCCAATCTCTACATTCTTGCAACATTTTCTCTTGTAAAAAACAAACAAACAAAAACAAAATAAAAATCTATAGCCGTAGGGCCTATTGCAAGGACTCAGTGGCTAAATCTCACCTTTCAAGTGCCGGGATCCCATTTGGGCACTGGTTTGTGCTCTGGCTGCTCCACTCTACATTTAGCTCTCTGCTTGCAGTCTGTGAAAGTAACAGAGGATGGCCCAAAGCCTTGGAACCCTGCACCCACATGAAAGACCTGGAAGAAGCTCCTGGCTTCAGATTGGCACAGCTCCAGCCGTTGAAGCCACTTGGGAAATGAACCAGCAGACAGAAGATCTTTGTCTTTCCTCTCTAAAAATCTGCCTTTATAAAAATAAAATAAATCTTAAAAAAAAAAAAAACAACTATCCATCCTAGTGGCCTTGACATGGTATCACACTGTGGTTTTGATTTGCATTTCTTAATTAACTACTGCGGTCAAGAACTGTTTCCATTCTTGCTGGCCATTTGTGTGTAACCTTTGGGAAAATGCTCAGATCCTTTGCTCATTTTTATTTTTTTAAAAGATTTATTTATTTTTATTGGAAAGGCGGATATACAGAGAGGAGGAGAGACAGAGAGGAAGATCTTCTGTCCGATGGTTCACTCCCTAAGTGAGCGCAATGGCTGGAGTTGAGCCAATCCAAAGATAGGAGCCAAGAGCTCTTCCGGGTCTCCCACATGGGTGCAGGGTCCCAAAGCTTTGGGCCATCCTCAAGTGCTTTCCCAGGCCACAAGCAGGGAGCTGGATGGGAAGCAGGGCCACTGGGATTAGAACCAACAACTATATGGGATCCCAGGGTGCGCAAGACAAGGACGTTAACCACTGCGCCACCGTGCTGGGCCCCTTTGCTCATTTTTATTATTGAGAAATTAAAATCTCTTTTTATGATTTACAAGTATTTTCCCACATACTGTGGGCTGTCCTTTCACTTTTGAAATAGTACCATCTAAAGCAAAAAGCGTTTACATTCAGTAATGTTAGATGTGTCTACTTTTCTTGTTAGTACCTGTGACACTAGTAGCACACTGCCTTGGTAACTATACCTTTGCCACAAGTTTTAAAATTAGAAAGTGTTTTCCATGATTGTTTGGCCACTCCCTGGATTTCTACACAAAGATTCTGATCAGCCTGTCAATTTTTGCAATGTAGCCATTTGGAGTTTTGATGCTGTTTGCATGGACTGGATATGTCAATTTGGGAAATGGTATCATTTTAAGATCCAACCCATGAGTCTGTGTATTTTCCCATTTATTTAGGTCTTCTTTTCAATGTTTTACATTCTTGTCAGTTTTATTCTACTGTTGTTACATTTATTTCTAAGGATTTCTCTCATTTTGTTGAAGTCTTTTACATGTGAAGAGCAATTTCTCTCCGGCTGCTTTTAAGATTTTCTTTCAACAGTTGAATTCTTCTGTGCCTTTGTGTAGATTGCTTTAAGATAACGGCACTTGGGATTTATGATAGCTGTTGGGTGCAGAGATTACTGGTTTTCCATCAAATCTGGGAAAAGTGGAGCCACTGTTTCTTCAACTTTCTTTTGCCCCCATCTCTTTCTCCCCTCCTTCTAAGATCTCCATTTGTGCCTGTGCTGAAACGCTTGGCAGCATCCAGAGGCCTCGGTGTTCCTTCACCTTTATTCTCTCTTCTTTCTACATTCCGTTCACGCCAATCTCATATGAACAACCTGATTTTTTTTCTGTGTGCTAAGGACTGTATTAATTTCTGTCTAGTAAATTTTTAAATGTCGTACTTTTTAACTACAGAACTTCTATTACGTTTTTAAAAATAATTTCTTCTTATTGATATTTTCTATTTAGTCAAACATTCAGGTTAGCTATCTAGACACTTCCCTTTCTTTTCTTTTTCTTTTTTCTTTTTTCTTTTTTTTTTGCTGACAGAAAAGTTTATTTGTGAAGGAAGGACCAGGTACACAGGGAAGGGAGAGGGAAGGGGAAGCACCTCTATAGAGAAAGCCGGGAGGTGGGGTGCCTCTTGAAAGAGGAGGGAGAAAGAGACACCCAGTTCCCTTTCATTCTTAGAACATATATTAACATTTTACATATTTACTTTCATTTGGGAGATGACAGAGAGTTTTCATCCTGTTGGTTCACTCCCCAAATGTCTGCAACAGCCCAAGGAGGGTCAGACCAAGCCCAGAAGTCAGAAACTCCATCCAGGATGCCCACATGGGTAGCAGGGGCCCGTCTCTTGAGCTGTCACCACTGCCTCCCAGGATACACACTTGTAGGAAGTGGGAATTTGAAACGGAGCCAGGATTTCAGCCCAAACACTCCTACTGTAGGATACAGGCATTCCAAGCAGATATAAACCACTTCTCCAAATGCTGTCCCAAAACATAACTAAATCAGCTGGCTTGAAGCCTCTGTTTTATGTCTTGGCTGTCTTAAGGATGGATTTACTGATTGCTTTTTCACCCAGAACACAGGCCATACTTTTTTGTTTCTTTGCAAGCCTTATGATTTTTACTGAAAACAGTACTAGAAATAATGTGGTAATCCTGAAAAAAATCAGATTCTCTCAATTCTCATTGTATGTGTTGTTGCTGTTGTTTGTTTAGTGATTTTCTGAATTAATTCTGTGCTGTCTGTATTCTTTCTTAATCCACTGAAATCTCTACTAGAAAGTTTTAACTAGTGACTGGGCAGATTTGCTTAAATGCCTGGAGACAGTAGGTTTTCCATCCAGTCTTTGCCAAAGGCTCTGTGCACATCTTGCAGCATATCTTCACATTCTCCCCAGAAGGCTGCAGATCTTCCACTTCAGTCTTCACTTCCATCCAGGACTCACACTGGTGCCCATACAGACAGAGGCTTAACCCACTACTCCATGGCACCAATTCCTACCTTCTACTTGCACAGAGCTTCCAGGTCAACAAAAGCTAAAACCTGGTTGGTTTTCTCAGGTCTTTTCTGAGCTTATACATGGTCCTGGGTGCTCACCTCACCTTCCAGATGCCCAAGGATACTGGAACTTTTCAAAGTCATTGCAACAATGCCATTTCCCAGCAGTTCCTTTCAAGCTTTCTAGTAAGCCTACTGTTTTCCCCAAACTTCTATCTACTATCTCAGGGAGCTGCATTTTCAAAACAACCCTGCTCCCTAAATCCCCTTTCTCTTTCAGCCTATGTGAACAAGTTTTTCATGTCGGATGAGCTCCAAATCAGATTCTAAAAAGACAATCTCTGAGTAGGACTTCCAGGAATCCAGCAGATGATCAAAGCAAAATAGTTTATAACACCTGTAAAACACAACCTGGAGGGGCCCAGCATGATAGCATAGCAGTTAAAGTCCTCGCCTTGAATGCACCAGCATCCCATATGGACGCCAGTTCTAATCCCAGCAGCCCCGCTTCCCATCCAGCTCCCTGCTTGTGGCCTGGGAAAGCGGTCGAAGACGACCCAAAGCCTTGGGATCCTGCACCCGCGTGGGAGACCCAGAAGAAGATCCTGGCTCCTAGCTTCAAATTGGCTCAACTCCAGCCATTGCGGCTGCTTGGGGAGTGAACCATCAGACAGAAGATTTTCCTCTCTGTCTCTCCTCCTCTCTGTATATCCGCCTTTCCAATAAAAATGAATAAATCTTAAAAACAACAACAACAACACACAACCTGGAGAAGGCTAATTAAAATGCTAATTAGTACCAACCTTCAGCTTGTCTGCTTTAGCTCTCAATTCCAGAAGCTTCTTCTCTTTAGCATCAATCTGCAGCCCTTCATCGCACCAGTTCACAGCCTCAGCAAAGTGTTTCAGTTCTAGATGGCACAAGGCACCTGCAGAACCCAACATCCTTAGGATACAGGAACAATACACAAAGAAAAATCCTGCCTTGAGCAATACTTTCCAGTCCTATGATCTACTAGCTGTCAGCCTGAGGGGAAAACAGAAGATAAAGCCCCTGTGCCATGGTCCTTGAATGAAGAGTAATTTGGTTTTCAATAGTAGATCAAAATAACACATGTAGTCATCCAGCTCTAGACTCTTACAGAATTGTCCCTGGCATTAAGGACTCTTAAAGCAGTGATGGCTGTAGTGAAGTTCATGGGTCAGTGGCAAACAGTTCAAGCTTTGGAGTCAGATCTGGGCTGGCAATTGGCCCTCCTATTCACCAGCTAAACCTTAAACAAAAGACCAAATATTCCAGAACTCAGGAGCAAAGTGCTCAAGTAGCAAAAGTAAAGCCAGCCTCAGATAATTTTTAAAGGAGAAACAGCAGAGGGGCTGCAGTCATGGCATTGTAGGCTAGGATCCTGCCTCACCACTGACATCCCATATAGGCACCAGCAGTTCAAATCCCAGCTACTCCATTTCCCATCCAGCTCCCTGCTTATGGCCTGGGAGAGCAGTGGAGGATGGCTTATGTCTTTGGGTCCCTGCATCACATGAGACACCAAGAAAAAGCTCCTCGCTCCTGGCTTTGGATCAGTTCAGACATTTGAAGAGGGAACCAACAGTTCAAAGATTCTCTGTGTATGTGTGTGTGTATATATAACTGTTTCTTCCTCTCTTATTTTCTAACTCTACCTTTCAATTAAAAATAAAACACAAATCTTTAAAAAAAAAAAAAAAAGAGAGAGCGAGCGAGCGCGAATGAGAGAGACAGATAGCAGAATTTGCCTTAGCCAATCATGAGAGCAGCAGCCAAAGTCTACCTTGATGCTGCTCTTCATGGCTACCAATTTTAGTCACCCTCCTTCCTATTAGGGTATATTTTTCTACACTTAGCCTCTTTGCACTTTCCATAAAATCCAAAATATCAAAATTTTAAGGACTTAAGATAGAAGGAGAATCTGCCCCATCTTTCAGAGATGAATAAACTAGGACTGGACATCTTATCAAGATCACATGGAGAAGTCAAACTGACCCTGAATCAAGGGTTATAGCCCTGCAGCCCAAGAATCCCACAGGGTCACACTGAACATATCTGCCATGCTCAATCTGCACCTTCCTTCCCTTCAGTGAGGGCCACGCACCCCCTTAGCATTCCCTCACCATGACTAAAAAGGCTTAACTGCAATAAAGCCTTTGAAGCTGGTCCACGGAGATATAAGGAAGATTAATATGTGATGAATAAATTAAAGTTTGCAAAGCATCTCTGAGCACCTCAAAGAAAAGGTGAAGTATAAAAGTAATAACAGCACTATTATTACATAGAAAGGTCAGACTATGAGAGGAAAAAAATAATCAGAGAACATCTCAACATTAGAGTTACCAGCAAAGGTCCCATAATTTATCTTTTAATTAATATTAACATGGCATTTGAAGATCTTGTCTTTCAATCAGCTGATTTGGAAAAAAATACCAGAATGTGGCTTTTGGAGCTGCTTTGTTTTAATTAATTTTATTCCTTGTTAATTCAGAATGAGGAATTTCAATTTTTCTACACAGTCTTAAAATATGAACGGTTAGGTCACTATCTAAGGAATTCTTTTTAAAGTGGTGTGTACTATTGATAAAGAACAGGAAGTTAACATCAGTGCAAATACAAGGCAACTTCATTAGTCTCCTGACATCTTAATAGCAGCTTAAATGTCAACTTTTGGCACACTGACAATCACATTTCCTCTGTGTTCCGTGATACTTACCTCTTACTATTGCTTTGAGGTGGCAGGGTTTCAGCTTTCTGGCAGCAGTCACATCATTGAGAGCAGACCGAAAATTGCCTGCCAAAAACACCATTTAGAAAAAGAGATAACACGTTTTAAGATCAAATGCTTCCACAAGCTTGCCTGTGGTGACAAAGATACTCTTGTACAATTTGGAAAAACAGAAATCACGCTTTAGAAAAAACAGAGTTGTATTCATCAAGAGCCTCTGAGATATTTACAAGCTCAGGCAATCCAACGAGCTGTAACCGGCTAGTAGCACATGGAAAGCTGTTCACTATCGCTAGGTTCAGCACATTCAGGTGACTAACATAAAACTTCAGCCACTACCCAGTGATGAAATGGGAGAAGGGCACTCAGGGTAAATTAACATGCTTTTTTGTGCATACACAGTGACTCAATTTTCTTCTTGGAAATTATCCTCAAAAACACCTGCTCAGATATGCAAGAATATAGAAGCACATTAACTCAGCATCAATTTTCACTGTGGAAAGCTAGATATAACTCAAATATCTTCAATTTTATAAAAATGAAAAAAAAAACCTGTGATAAATGCATACTATTCAATACTTTGCAACCATTAAAAAGAATGAGTAGATGATAGCATGTCCGTGCTGTACTGTTTTGATTGAGAATTCCATGCACATAGCAGGAGTCTATTTTTTTAAAACAACAAACAAAACCAGATATACAGATACACACAGAAGTACATTTTTAAGTGATTTCTCTCTCTCTCTCTCACACACACACAAAATCTAAGCTGGGAGGAGGGCATGGTACCTCTACTAATTTCCGCTTTCCTCTATAATGATGATTTAGAGGTTTTTTTTTTTTTTTTTTAACCAATCTCATTTCCAAAATTTTAGCCCATTTTTTTTCTATAAAACCTTTTTTCTATATAAAGAGCCAGAGAGTAAACATTTCAGGTTTTGCAGGCCACATGTACTCTACTGCACACTCTTATTTTAGTTAATTTGTCTGTTTATTTTATGAGGCAAAGACAGAGGCAGGTAGGCATGCACAGAGAGAGAGATCTTCCAATATTTGGTCTCTCCTCAAATGCCCATGATAGTTGGGACTGGGCCAGGTAAAACCCAAGAGCCAGAAATTCAGCCTGAGCCTTTGATACGGGTGGCATAGACCAAAGTACTGAGCCAACACCTGCTGTATCCCAAAGTGGACATTAGCAAGAAATCAGAATCGGAAGTGGAGTTAGGATTTGAACCCCGGTACTCAGATGTGAGCATTCCAAGCAGTGTACTAGCTACTGGGGCAAGCATGTGTTTCTCTCTCCTTTAAAAAAGTAAAAGTAGGGCCCAGCGTGGTGGCGCAAGTGGTTGGGGTCCTCGCCTAGCACGCCCGGGATCCCATATGGGCGCCGGTTCTATCCCAGCAGCCCCGCTTCCCATCTAGCTCCCTGCCTGTGGCCCGGGAGAGCACTGGAGGACGGCCCAGAGCTTTGGGACTCTGCACCCGCGTGGGAGACCCAGAAGAGGCTCCTGGCTTCATATCGGCATAGCATCGGCCGTTGCGCTCACTTGGGAGTGAATCATCGGATGGAAGATCTTCCTCTCTGTCTCTCCTCTCTGTATATCGCCTTTCCAATGAAAAAATAATAAAAATAAATCTTTAAAAAAAAAAAAAAAAGTAAAAGTATTTTCCATTTACAGCAAGCCAGGGGCCAGACATGGCTGCAAGCCACAGTTTTCCAAATCCTGTTCTCAACGAAGCAGAATTACTAGGGAAACTTCATGAAATTTGTTCATTTTTACATTATTCACAAACACTAAAAGCAGCCTATATACTCGAGTTTCAGAAAATCTGCTCTTAATTCCTCCCTACTCAGGGAGCTAAAGAAATGTGTTCCACCAAAACAACAAAGTCTACTGGGAAGGACAGAACTGTAGGATCCAGGGCACTCAGATCAAACATGAGCAAGAAGCAACCAGAATCCCCAGATGAAGGTGAAGGGTGACTCCAGGACAACAGACATCCAGTTCAAAACAGACTAGACCAGTTGAAAAGGCTCCCAAGAGATATCACCAAAATGGCACAGTGGAGAGAAACCCTGATAAGGAAGAGAATGAGAAAACGGGGGAAAAGCCTCAGGTTGGATCAGTGACTAGCACAATGAAAGCAATAAACATCATCAAGACAGTGACTGACTCAAGAAATACAGTTTTGTTTAAAAAAAGAAAATGGTGAAAACAGTCAACGTGGCTTAGCTGTGAATAACATTTACAGTCATAATAATAAAAGCACTCTGGACTGGAATGTGGTACATCAGGTTAAGCCACCATCTGGGACATCAGCATCCCAGACAGGCACCAGTTTGAGTCTGCTTCTGATCTAGCTCCCTGACAACGCACCTTCAAAAGAAGCGTTAGACCAAATGCTTTGGTCTCTACATCCACAAGGAAGACCCAAATGAAGGTCTGAGTCCCTGGCATCAGCCACTGGGGTTATTTGGAGAACCAGCCAATGGAAGAGCTCTGTGTGTGTCCCTTTCCCTCTGTAATTATGCCTTACAACTAAATATATAAAATCTTAAATAACAACTAAAAACCATTCAAGATCTGCTAACCCATAGCATACATATATGCAAGGGCAGGGTGGAGTGGTGAGTGTGCAGCTGTGGTGGTCGTGGTGAGAGAGCAATCTTTCTATATTTTTCATAGTTGTTACAATAAACATAATTTTTCTAAGTTTTCATTTATTTATTTTTATTTTTTAAAAAAGTAGAAAAACAGATACCCTATCTGCTGGTTCACTCCCTAAATGCCCACAGTAGCCAGAGCTGAGCAGGCTGGAAGCCAGGAACCTGGGATTCAACCCCATCACACAGGTAAGTGGTAGGGACCTGAGTATTGAGCCAACACCTGCTGCTTCCCAGGCTGAGCACCAGCAGGAAGCTGGATTGGAAGCAGAGGAGATAGGGCTAGAGGCATGCACTCTAAATGGAAGGTGGGCATCCCAAGCAGCAGCATCCTGGCTAAACTGAAAGGCCATTTATATATCACTTTTTCTTCCTTCAAAAAATTTTATTATTGGAAAGGCAGATTTACAGAGAAAAGGAGAAATAGAAAGAAAGATCTCCCATCTGCTGATTGACTTCCAAGTGGCCACAATGGCTGGAGCTGAGCCAATCCAAAGCCAGGAACAAAGTTTCTTTCAGGTCTCCTACGTGGGTGCAGGGTCCCAAGACCCTGAGCTTTCCTCTACTGCTTTGCCAGGCCACAAGCAGGGAGCTGGAAGGGAAGTGGAGCAGCAGGACACAAACTGGTGCCCATATGGGATCCTGGCACATTCAAGACAAGGACTTTAGCTGAACCATTGTGCTGGGCCTGTGTATTTTTCCAATAAAAATTCCAAGATGTGCATATGTCTAACTCAACAACTATTTTAGATTTTTTTTAAACTTTTTTTCTTTTAATTTAAAAGGCAGAGAGATAGAAAAATAGACAGAGTTCCTCATTCTATGGGTTCACTCCTCAAAGCCTGCAATAGCTGGCCCTGGGCTGCTGTAGGCCCAGGAACTCAACATAGCTCTCCCAAACGCATGGCATGAGCCCAAATTCTTGAGCAATCACCTGCTGCTTCCCCAGATACACATTAGCAAGGAGCTGGAACAGGAAGTAGAGGTGGGATTGGAACGCAAGTATCCCAAGCAGTATCTTAGCAGCTGCACCAAACACTCACCCGACAGCGCTGTATTTTAACAGGATATGAAGCCCTGCACTCTGTGCAGTGAAGAGCAGAATTTTGTTCACAACAGTAGACAAGCCTGCCTACTGTGCAATTTATTTATTTTTTATTTTTTGTTTTTAAAGATTTATGTATCTTTATTGTAAAGGCAGATATACAGAGAGGAAAGACAGAGAGGAAGACCTTGCATCTGATGATTCACTCCCCAAGTGGCCGCAATGGCTGGAGCTGAGCCAATCCAAAGACAGGAGCCAGGATCTTCTTCTGGGTCTCCCAGGTGAGTGCAGGGTCCCAAGGATTTGGGCCATCCGCCACTGCTTTCCCAGGCAACAAGCAGGGAGCTGGATGGGAAGCAGAGCTACCAGGATTAGAACTGGTGCCCATATGGGATCCAGGCATGTTCAAGACAAGGACTTTTGCTGCTAGGCTATTGCACCAGGCCTCCCCATGAATGTTTTATGGAAATACTCACAATGGCCTCCTGGAATAGGAAACCATTTGGTCATTCTCTCTGTTGTAGTGACTTTTCCTCGAAACTGAATTTTTAGACACCTGTGATACAGTATTTTCTAGGTTACCTCATGTTTTGCTGAGCAATCTCTCTTCTTGGCCACTTCATCCACAACTTCCTCACTGGTGATTCGTCAGTTTACTCAGCCACTCTTTTATATTGCTGCACATTTTCCCTGGGAGATTTCTGTCATTCCTTCCTGCTGATGACTATGACCACAAACCACACCAACTCTTTCCCTAAGTTTCTACCAATCCATCCACAGGTATCTCCAACCAAACATATCCAAAGAAAACTCACTATTATCACTCATCCTACCTTAACTTCCTAAAAGCTGCTCCCTCCAGAGTCCCTCTCTGGTGGTGGTGCTACTATTTTGCAGTTAGAAACCAGCAAGTCCTTCCAATCCCTCCCTAACTCAACATGCCAACTGCACTGACCAATGTCATTTCTCGAGTCCACTTCTTCTCTGCATCCTCACTGCCATTGCCTTCTCAGTTTCCCTCTCCAACTCCGTCCTTCCTATAAACCGATAAAGTGATCCTTCTGCAGAACCACAGAAATGCAAGCTAACTGCCTGCACAAGACCTTTGATGGCTCATCGCATCCAAGCTCCTCCTCATGCCGACCAGTCCCCGTGACCCAGCCATCTCTCCAGCTTATCTCACCATCTCCTCTGCCTCATTCTTCCATTTGAAACACTGATTTTCCCAGATTTATCTAAGCCCCATTCTCTTCCCAGGTGGAATGTCCTCACCATCTGCTTCTACATCACACCTACTGTTCCTTATAGCTTCAGTTCAGATGCCCCTTTCTCCAGCAGCTTGAATCAGTACACCTCGTCCACTCTCTAAAAATGTTCTTCGTATTTCTCCATCTCTATTCTAACTCTCACTGACAACCTTGACTGCATCCTAACCCCAGCACCACATACACTTAGATGATTCATTGTACCACTCAAAACTTAATTCATCTGTTAAGGATAAGACACTAACCTCACTTATCTCAGACACTGAAGCTATGAGGTCACGAAAATGAACATCAAAGTGCTAGGCCAGCTGCAGCAGAGACACATCACTTAGAGACTGGAGTGAGAATCACACATCTGCTCCTCTGGAGTCACACACACAATTCTTTCCTTATGAGGCACTTCCAGGCTCCTTAACCTAAGAACCACATTCTTGGGCCTGGCGCAATGGCGCAGTGGTTAAGGTCCTCACCTTGCATGCCCGGGATCCCATATGGGTGCCGGTTCTAATCCCGGCAGCCCTGCTTTCCATCCCCCTGCCTGTGGCCCGGGAAAGCACTTAAGGATGGCCCAAGGCTTTGGGACCCTGCACCCGCATGGGAGACCCAGAAGAGGCTCCTGGCTTCATATCGGCATAGCATCGGCCGTTGCACTCACTTGGGGAGTGAATCATTGGACGGAAGATCTTCCTCTGTCTCTCCTCTCTGTATATCTGCCTTTCCAATAAAAACAAAATAAATCTTTAAAAAAAAAAAGAACCACATTCTTAAACCCCTTACTATCGGGAACCACGTAGCTCTTGTTATGGGGTAATATCTAACAGGAAGTCAACGCTTCATTCACAGCTACTGCTGCTTGAATAAATAAAAGAACGAACCTGCTTCACGCACAGGTCAGGGCTCACTCATCTCTCAGATGCCAGGGCGTCTTGAACAATGTTACAGCTCTCCACAGAAGGAAGATGTACTCTCCCAGCAGGGAGGACACTAAGTTTCTGGAACTCATCAGAACCCTTCCTGGGCTGATGCAAAACTTTGTTAGCAGGCCCCAGTAGGCTCCAAGGTCCCAACCACTCTGACTTAGAATGAAACAGACCACATCGTGCAGACAAGTGGCTGGGGAGAAACTACTCAGATAGGATGAGTCCCAACAGACTCACTCTGTCTACACTGCAGGCACTGTTCCCCACCATCCTCTCAAAAACGCCTCATGTCACCCCAAGGTCCTCTCTACATTGTGCATAAGAAACACAATTCTAACACAACCAAGTCTAGTCAACAACACCTAAACTACTCAAATAGTCAGCATTCCCCAAAGTCATGGACTGAAGCCTGGTGTTAGAAGCCTGTCAGTTAGAGCTGACAGAAATCAGGAAACCCAATCCCTCTGAGGTGTGAATGCGCGCTTAACACCCACAAAAGAGCACCACTGCCCAGACCACCTCACAGAAGAAAAATGTTTTACTTCAGGGGGCCCACAAAAAACTTATTGAGAAATTCTCCCTTTCATTATACAGTGCTCTCACCCAAAGATCTCTATGGCCTTAATCATAGCAACCTTGAGAGAATCCAGGAAAAAAAAATTAGGGCCCAGTGCAATGGCTCAATTGGCTAATCCTCTCACTTGCAAGTGGTGGGATCCCATACAGATGCCAGTTCATATCCTGGCTGCTCTACTTCCCATCTAGCTCCCTGCCTGGGAAAGAAGAGGATGATGGTCCAGGGCCTTGGAACCCTGCACCTGCATGGGAAACTTAGAAGAAACTACTGGCTCCTGTTTTCAGATCAGCTAAGCTCTAGCTGTTGCAGCCATTTGGGGAGTGAACCAGCAAATGGAAGATCTTTGTCTCTCCTTCTCTCTGTAAATCAGTCTTTCCAATCAAAATAAATAAACATTTAAAATATTTTTTTGAGAGCATGCAAACTTAAGTTCAAAAATCTCAAATTCCACTGATTCATGAATCAAATAACTTCAGTGAATGACTGCATTCCTTTTCTGTGGTCAAGCAGTAAGAATCATATACTCCATCCCATTGCCCTTGTTACCATCTTTATCTGGAAGATCGGAGCAGAATGAGAATAAGCGACCTTTAGTGTAGGTTTCTGGGATTCAGAAACCCCTCTTTCTGACACTCCAGTGCTTCCCTTTAGCCATCATAGAGGCTTCAACCAGAAGTTAACTCTTCAGATCATTCATCAATGAAATCAATTACCCAGATAGTACTGTGCTGCTGCCCGGTTGGTATAGAGGATGGTGTTCAGATCAGGATCTGCACATTTCTTCTTCAAACCTTCCGTGTACGAAATCACTGCTTTCTTGTAGTCTTTCTCTTTAAAGTAATCATTGCCCTCATCTTTGTAAGTCTTGGCCTGTTCTGCAAAGAGAAGGAGAAATAATCACTACCTTCCACTTTAGAAAAATAAATAAAAGCAGTTCTAAATCATGTAATAATGTAACAGAGGACAACTCTGAAGAAACCAAAATTAACCAAAATTAATGACACAATAAAAATGTAAATTAACATCAAGATGCAAAGTCATGCGAACTCAAACATCTGGCAGGGAAAATGACTACGTGTTTATCTCCCCAGCCTAAAAAAAAAAAAAAAAAAAAAAAGCTTAACGGGAGAATCAGATCATTGCTTTCGCTTTTTCTCTGTAGTACAAATTTTGTGTGTTCCCTCTGTACCGCCCCCTTCCAGTAAGAGCTTAAACATTTGTTAAGCCTCAGCTCAGCTGCTCTGGACCTTCAGCGTTCCCACAGCCCTCACTAGAACAGCAATCTACAGCGGTGTATAGGCACCAAGCACACACACCTGTCCCGATTCCGCAGGACAACTTGGCCCTTCGAGGGCAGCAGCTACGTCTTACTTGTCCCCAACTCCCAATGTCCAGTAGGCACGCGAGCGGAATGGGGAGTGAGTGACAAGGCAGCTCAGGCGCCTGGTCGACCTCCATCACGCCTTCTGACCCACACCCCATTCGCACAAACAGGATACCTTCTGGAGATCGCTCCTCATCAAAAATCATCGACTGAAGACAGGCCAAGTCCGGGTTCTCCTCGGGATCAATTTCTGTGGGTGCTTTCTTCATGAACAGGGGGATCTTTTCAAATTCCTGGAGAACGCAAAGAGCAGAGTGAAGGAAATGCACATTGGGTAGCTGCAGCTCCACTCACTCAGCATGATTTGCAGCTCATCGTAATCAGCTGTATCGCCTCTACAGGTCTCGGTTTCCCTTTTGTAACACTCTTTTGTGGGGAGTAATCTCACAACTCCTTCAGGTGGCACACTGTAAGTGGGTCAGTGGTTCCCACTCACTGGGGGCTCTGACGTTCCTGACAATCCACACACCACCTCATCTCTGCCCTAAGTCCACGTGATTGGTGTTTCTATGGGGGGAGAGGGAAAGGACGGGATCAGAGCAGGCAAGTAACTGACTATCAGCGCAGCAAGTGGAAGAGTCGCAGCCCTGACCCCTAACCCGGGACTCTGACACGTCCCCACGGATTGAGACTTACCTCACGGCCTCCAGGCCCGTTTTTAACACTCAGTTACAAACCACCCCTCCGCCCGCGACAACTGGGATCTGGGCCTGAGTCACCCCGAGTCAGGCAGTCCCCGGCGTCCGGGCGAGCACCCCATACACGTGCAGAAGCCCGGGTCTCCCACCTCCTCCCACCGGTCCTCGCGGAAGCCGCCGCGGTAAGGCTGGCTCTGGAACTTATCCAGGAACGAGTCCATGGCGTTGTCGTCGGCGGCGTCTGGCTCAGAGCGCTCCATGACAGCTCCTGGCTTCTCACGCGGCAGCCCAGAAACCGGGACGCGCGCGGTTCCTTCCGGCAGCACGGGACGCCCTCCCCTCAATCCTCCGGGTGGCTCCAACGCGCGCGTCCAAGGTTCCGGCAGCCTGGGCGGGCACGGCCGAGGCCCGCACGTCGCTTCCGCCCCTTCCTGGACCAGCACCTCCGGGGTCCTGGCCGCAGCCTGCACCCCGCCCCAAGACCCCGCCTTGGCTCCATTCACTCAGTTGTTGTCAGGCAACAGTAGGTGCAGCGCCTGTGGTGTTTCCGGCGGCTAGACTCCGGAGGTGAAAACAGCAAGGCTTGCCGGCTGGACGTTGCTAAGGTGATGTGAGGAAGCGGTCAGTGGATGTGGGATCCCGGGTGAAAGCCAGAGTCCTTGGAGGAAAGTTCCCCAGGGCGTAGGCACAGGCAGGCTCAGCAAGGCCGAGGCCCACGAGAGTGCAAGGCTTTCCCCGCAGAGGGCACAAGTAGGGCTGCGGAGGTGAGGGATTGGGGGAAGAGAGCAGAAGAGGTACAGAGGCAGTGGTCCCCAGGCCTTGGCGTATATCAGGATGGCACTTCCTGCAGGGTTTTTTGGGAAGACGTGTCTGTTCCTGAACTTGACCCTTCCTACCACTCAGCTTGAGATGGAAGCAAGAACTCCAGCCCAGGTGAGGAAGCTGGACCGTCCATCCATCCATTGCAGCTGCGGTCAAGGGCTGATACAGCCCTAAGCAGCGCCTGAGCTGCACTAGAATGACAGGCAAGCTGCAGACCCAGCTAGACCAGCCAAAGGCCCAGGGGAACGAGGGTCAGGAAGGGTTCCCATCCGAAGGTATTTCAAAATGGAATTAAAAGATAGGTAATTTTTTAGTACGTGTGTCTGAACTGGGCTTCCTCAGTTGTTAAGGCAATGCAGTGGACGGCATGCCCAGATGCACATGGGGGATACGGCAGCCCACTGGGGTCCTGTAGGGGACATCTAATACCACAGCAGAGGATGGAAAGCAGACCGACAACTCTCCCAGCCAAACATTGACAGCAAGTTATCTGGGTGAATGGAAACTCTGAGATGGACTGTGTCAGCCAATGGACCTTGGAAGGATTTCCTCATCCTTATAGCAACAAAATCAACAGCAACTCGGAGTTGTCAACACCACCTGAGCAGAACCCTTGGAGCAGGCTCCACATTGGGGACTCTAGGATGACACGGGGTGCCCATTCCCCATCCCCAGGTACTGATGCGGTTAGATGGAGGGTGCAACTTCTCCCCTTCTTCTCTCATTCCCCCAACTATAGGAAGAAGAAAAAGAAAATTAGAAACAAGAATCTCATCCACTTTTCCCTAGTTCTTGACCCTTCCCACCCTAATTAGTGATCCACATGGGCCTGCATCCTTCTCAACTATGTAACATCACTGAAAATAAATCTTTAATAAAAAAGACAAAAAGAAAGAAAAAGGTTGGGGCCAGCATGAACGCTCAATTGGCTAATCCTTCACCTTGCAAGCACCGGGATCATATGGGCACCAGTTCATATCCTGACTGCTCCACTCCCCTTCCAGGTCCCTGCTTGTGGCCTGGCAAAGCAGTAGAGGACGGCCTAAAGCCTTGAAACTGCACCTATGAGGGAGACCCAGAAGAAGTTCCTAGCTTCAGATTGGCTCAGCTCTGACAATTGCAACAATTTGGAGAGTGAATCAGCAGATGGAACATTGCTCTGTTTCACCATCTCTCTGTAAATTTGCCTTTCCAATAAAATAAATCTTTTCTAAAATGGAGGTTTTTTTTAAAAAAAAATCAATAGTTTTTCCATAATATGCATTTTCATAAGCTTTTTGAATACTCTTCAACCAAATATGATACTTTTGTTGCTCCAAAATGAATTTATCTTTTGTTTTCTACATTTTTAAAAGATTTGTTTTTATTACAAAGTCATATATACAGAGAGGAGGAGAAACAGAGAGGAAGATCTTCTGTGTGATGATACACTCCTCAAGTGAGCACAAAGGCCAGAGCTGAGCCGATCCAAAGCCAGGAGCCAGGAACTTCCTCCAGGTTTCCCACGCAGGTGCAGGGTCTAAGGCTTTGGGCTGTCCTCAACTGCTTTCCCAGGCCACAAGCAGGGAGCTGAATGGGAAGTGGAGCTGCCGGGATTAGAACTGGTGCCCATATGGGGTCCTGAAGTATGCAAGGCGAGGACTTTAGCCACTAGGCCACCGTGCCGGGCCCTGTTTTCTACATTTTTTTTAACTACAAAGTAATACTGAGCTAAGAGCAGAGAGGAGGTCTCTGCTGATAGGCTGGGCACTGGGTGAGGAAGTCAAATATTGGGAGAAGCTATAGCCCATGTGCCAAGAGGCATGGAGGGCACCAGCACTCAGCACGCTGAATATTGTGAGCATGAAGAGCTAGGAGGTGGGCAGGGTGAGCAGGGCCAGGGGGCCTAAGTGTCACACTGGCCTTTATCTTGCAAGAGGGTAGGGAGTGATTGACAAGACTGAGAGGAGGGAAGAAGGGAGTGGGGGACATGAGCTAGTTCACCTTCAAAAAGTCTGGGCTGCCCAGTGAAGTTTGGGTGAAATTTTGACAAGGAGGCTGCTGGCAAGAGACCAAGGGCGAAGCAGATCTGGTAGTCTGGGTCATTATTTGCTGTGGGAGTGTGAGGGATGCTGGAATGAGGGGATGCAAGCCCTGTGGGTTTGCTGAGGCCAGGGCTGTGTCTTCCCACTTCTGATGTTCCTCTGTCCATAGGACACTTGGTCCAAATACTCCATTTCCAAATCCAAGCCTCGTTTTATGCACTTAGTCCTCCAACCCTATTGCCTAGCCCTTCCTTCCTCATTCTCTCCATGTCACCTTCCACTTCCTGTGTACAAATCCTACTGAATCTATCGCTTGTGTTTTTTTTTTTTTAAAGATTTATTTTTATTAGAAAGGTGGATATACAGAGAGGAAAGACAGAGAGGAAGATCTTCCGTCCGATGATTCACTCCCCAAGTGAGCGCAACAGCCGATGCTGTGCCGATCTGAAGCCAGGAGCCTCTTCTGGGTCTCCCACGCGGGTGCAGGGTCCCAAAGCTTTGGGCCGTCCTCGACTGCTTTCCCAGGCCACAGGCAGGGAGCTGGAAGGGAAGCGGGGCTGCCGGGATTAGAACCGGTACCCATATGGGATCCCGGGTGTGCAAGGTGAGGACCTTAACCACTGCACCACCGCGCCGGGCCCTTATGTTTTTATTAACTTTTTGTTGAAAAGGCAGATAGACAGAGAGAAGGAGAGATAGAAACATATTCCATCTGATAGTTCACTCCCCCAAGCAGCTGCAACAGGAGCCAGGAACTTCTTCCAGGTTTCCCACGCAGGTGCAGGGTCCCAAGGCTTTGGACCATCCTCGACGACTCTCCCAGGCCACAAGCAGGGAGCTGGATGGGAAGCAGGGCTGCCGGGATTAGAACTGGTGCCCATCTGGGGTCCTGAAGTGTGCAAGGTGAGGACTTTAGTCACTAGGCTATTGTGCCAGGCCCTGCTTGCATTTTCTTATTCAATCCCTACATAGGAAAAGGAGGTAGAAGCCCATTTTACAGATAACCAAAAGGGAGACTCATAAAAGGGAAGGAGCTTGTCCAGTACTGTTAGAACTTTCTGAATGGAGGCTGCTGAGAGGGCCCTGGCCAGTGTGTGAGGCAGTCAGCTTCAGCTGTGCTCCCAGGCCACCCCCACCTGGAATAGAGCAGCTGTCAGTTGACAGGAACACCCTAGGCCTGGGCTCTGTTCACAGAAAATGGCAGTGTCTCTGGATGGAAGGTCTTGGGTGTGGGACATGGGAGATCTTTGCACCCTGCACTTCTGTTGGTTCCCTTGTGTCACCCTGAGCAAGGCCCACCCTGCCTTTCCCCGTGTTAAGTTGTGTCCTTGTCTATAGAAAGCAGGCAAGAATTCCCATGATTAACCAGGCTATGGTGAGACACCGTGGGTCTCGTTGACAACAGGAAGGATTGTGGGAATGAACCACTCTGTTTTTTTACTCCATCAGGTACAGAATCCCAATGGCCGTGACCAACTATTTATTGTAGGATGGTTATGGGATCAATGTCATGGGGTCCTCATGCTTGGCAGGGACTTACATGAGGCGTTTCTCAGGGCAAGATTTTTAAAATTTGGAAGTCAGTTACAGAGGCAGAAGAGAAGAGATCTTCTGTCTGCTGGTTCACTCCCTAAAACCATGGGTGCAACGACCAGAGTTGGCCAGGTTGAAGCTAAGAGCCAGGAGTTTTATCTAGCTCTCCCACATGGGTGGAGGGGCCCAAACACTTGGGCCATCTTCCATTGCTCTCCCAGGCATCCTAACAGAGCGCTGGATCAGAAGTAGAGCAGCTAGGACATGAACCAGCACTCCTATGGGATGCTAATGTCTAGGTGGTGGCTTTGCCCATTATACCACAATGCTCACAGTCACCGTCCCCACCACCCTATCCCACAGAGATATCTTCCACAGCCCACGCCACTGCACACACGCACAGGCAAATTCCCAATCTGTCTCTATCCTAGTCCTCTCCACCAGCCTCTACCCCTGCAGCTGTCTTAAGTCTATTCAGTATACTGTCACAGAAAACCTTAGACTTTATGGTTTATAAACAGCATTTATTCCTTACAGTTCTGGAGAGATATGCAAAATCCAGCATTGGCAAATTGGGTGTCTGCTGAGGGCTCATTTCCTGCCTTTTCCCTGTGTCCTCACATGACATACGCCTCTCTGGAGTCTCTTAAGGGCCAAGATACCACTCATTAACCCCTGATCACCTGGCTAAGGGACCCCGCTGGCTAATACCATCATACTCAGCATTAGGACTGCAACATCAGAACCTTCCGGGACGCAGCAAGCAGTCGACAGCAACAGTCAGCCACCTCGCAGACGCCACCTAGTATGCCACACAAGTCCCTTCCTCTCACTGTGTCCACGCCAGACTCTTACACTGCCCTCTGCTCTCACCAAGCCTGCTCCTGGTCCAGAGTCTATGCCTCCATGTGGGAGCGCCATAGCTCAGTCACCCATCCAGAAACCCACATGCCATCCTTGACACTGCCTTTTCCCTCCTCCCTCCTGTCAGCCTGGAGCTGCTCTTCCCCCAAGCCTCCCCAGACCTTGTTACCCCTCTACCACCATCACTAGTCCCTGACAGAGTCCAAGTCATTACGTGGCAGTGTGTGGCTGGGCCTGTCCTTGCCCTTGTCCACTCATCATCCCCAGCCCTTTCTCGCCACTGTTGGGGCACACCGCTTTTTCACAGGCTTGCTTTATACCCCAGAGCCCTCCTCCATGCTGCCTCGTACCCTCATCAGTATTCTGTTTGAATGCACTTGCCAAATATGAAGAAGCCCTTTGTGGAGACACGTCCCCTAGACTCCTCATCCTGCACCAGGCCTTACATCCTGTCCACGGTGACAACTGTATCCCACCTTGCTGCTTCTGACTGCTGCATGGGATCCCCCAGCATCCACTCCCCAAGGACGGGTTCCCAAGCTGCCTCCACCCCAGAGCACCATAAAGAATGAATAGACGACCTCATTTTGTCACTCTGCCTTTCAGATAAATAGAAATAAAGAAGGAAGGAAGGAGAGAGCACGAAAAAAATGAATGAAAGAAAGAAAGAAAGAAAAGAAAAGAAAAGAAAAGAAAAGAAAAGAAAAGAAAAGAAAAGAAAAGAAAAAGAAAAGAAAAAGAAACAGACATCTCTCCCAGTCTCTCCAGGTTAGCAGCCTACATGCCTCCTTGCTACTTTCTGGCTATGATCTGTGTCACCCAGATGGCACCACCTCCAAGGCGGCCATGGCCTTGCCCTTGCCCTTCTCACCCCCTTACCCTAGACCCCATCTTCCTTCCACACATGCTCATCACTGGGTATCTTTCCTAAACCTGTGGAGAAGGGGTGGGGATGGAAAACAAGGGCTCTTCCCTGATAGGCCATCTCTACCCGGCCCCCTCCCGGTCTGTGTACCTTTCTCTGGACTCCATGGCCCCCATACCTCCCTATCCTGCTCATGGTATCTTCAACAAAATCAACCACAAGTGTCTGCCTCGGCCCTCTTGCCATTAGGACCATCTGGTTCTTGGCTGCAGGGGCTGTGCTGTGCCTTGCAGCACCTCTGGTCTCTGCCCTCTTGACATTGGTAGCATCCCATAGTGTCAAGGCAGATATGATTAAACCTCACTAGGGACTGAGTTGCCACTGGTGGAGAGTCCCTGGGCTGGTCTTGCTCGTATCCACATCCCTGGTGCTCAGGGCAGGTGGCCCAGGCCAGGAATTCTGGGACCCAGTCAGTGAAGGCCATCAGCCATGGTTGTACACAGGTCAAGTTCTAGGGTGTGCTGATGTCAGTGAAGGGAAGTCATCTCTCTCCCTTTCCTTCCCTTTCCCTATGGGCCCCCCCCCCAAATTAGCATCCCTGTTTGTGTCCGTAGGTGGGAAGGGGGAACTAGACCATCAGGCATGCTGGCACTGTGGCCCTGTCCAAGCCACTTGTCCTCGCTGAGCCGCAGTTTCCCTGGGGTGGACATCTCTGTTGCCTAAGCCATCTAAGGAAGGCCCTGCTCCTCCCTGATTGGCCACATGCCTGGGGAGGAACAGGGCGGCTGCTACAGAGCCCATGGTACCCCTTAGAGGACACGCTCCAGCTCCAGCAGCAGAGGTAAGCCCCACAGCATTTATAGAGGGTAAGGCTAGGCCTGGGGTGGTCACTGTTTCAGGGATATTTTCCAGGAGCCCAGGGCCTGCATGATCCAGGAGCGCCGCTGGTGGGAAGTGGGCAGGTTCTCACAGCTGGGGCTCCAGCGGTGCGTGGTGGCCGGGTCGCACACCCATGCATCCCCATGCGGCAGTGGCCAGGAGTTCCTCCAGCAGCTGGCCAGGATGTGTTCTTGGGCCTGGGCTGCGTAGATGCACACCGACGCTTCCGGGTCATGCCTCAGGTTTTCCAGTGCTGCCTCGCAGGAGAAGAGGACAGGTCACCTGTTCAGACCCCCCCGCAGGGGTCTCCCCCCACCTCATTCTTCCTTTCCACCACTAGGCCTTGGCTTAGGCATCCTCTGCCCAGCATCCTCTCATCTAGTCTCCCTCTCCTGCCTTCAAATTGTTTACATCCTTCAAAGGCCTGAAGCCAAAAACCTGCCTGGATCTCCAGGAAGCCTTCCTGGATTCCCACCCTACTTATTGCATGCTCTCACCAGCTTCTCCAGTTATACCCTGGAGAATCTGAAATATTACCCCATCTTCCTGTCCCCACTCCACTTAATGGGGGTCTTATTTGGAGCCTCATGTCCTTAATGACACTGTAAAGACTGTAAGGATCATAGCGTGGGTGACATGTTCTGTCTTTTATAACCCTGGGATAGCTCACATTGTCCTCACTGTGTGTGAATACCCTGGGTGACTTAGCTGAGCTAAAGACCTTGGTCTGGTTGGTTCCTCCCCTCACTTCCCCTACCCATCCTCCCTTCCCCATCCCCTCTCCCACAGCAGTAGCCAGATGCACTCACCTGACTTCACCTCCTTCAGGCGCTCTTCCGTCATTATGTCCTCCATGCAGGGGACCAAGGACCCTGAGCACAACCCAAGAGATGAATGTATCCCCACTAGCCCCCCTCAGACCAAACTCCCCAGAGAAACTGCCCCCCACTGGCACTTTCTTCAGCCTTACAAGTGAGGATACAACAGGCATAGTCCCCAAGAGGGGTTCTATAGGCAGAGCTGGCATCAGAACATGGGCAGGATCCGGTCAGCAGCTGACTCTGATGGTGTGGCCCTGGGGCTGGGCTCTCAGCCATGGTATGGGAAGGTGCTGCCTCGGCTGCCCACTTCTCCAGGGAGTTAGAGCAGCCACTGCTTGGGAGGACCCAGGGCACCTGTTCCACCTGCCAGGCAAGGCTTCCAGTGATACTCCTGGAGGGGCTGACCCTCAGCTGGGCTGCTTGCAGAATCTGCCACCTGTGAGCCTTCAGCCACACTGCTCAGCCTTGCCTGCTCCAGCCTGTGCTCTGGCTATTGGTACCCATAGGGCCTAAATAGATCTCCCAGAGTTCCTGCCCTCACTTCTCCTGGCCATTTCCTTTTTGTCCTCAAATGCTCAGTGTACTGAGTGGCTCCAGGGGAAAGTCCTTCCTGTCCCTACCCTGGGCTAGGTTAGGTGTCGCTCTGGGTTCCTGGAACATCTATGAGTTTTTCTCTGTTTAGCCTGTGTTGTATATTACTTGTGATTTATGAATCTTTGTTTCTCATTTTAACCTTGGAGCCACTGAGGATGAGCTTGGGAGGGGCAGACTCTGAGGGCCCAAAAGCAGCATGGGAAATTGTTGGCATGGACACATTTCCCACTGGAGGTTTCACATTCTCTTCAAAGTCTCACAAGAGAGCTAAGACCCAAATAAGGTGGAAGTCAGTGCACTGTGCTAGAAGCTGTCTGTGGGCAGCCCTGGCTCTGCCCAGCTCTGCTGCCTCAGCCCTAACCCCAGCCCTGGCACAGAGATGGACCAGGGTACATGATACTACATTTTGAAGAGTTATGAACTTGAAGAGAAAGTTAAGGAAGTCAGCCCCAGGACCAACATTATGATGCAGTGGAATAAGCCTCTGCCTGAAATGCTAGCATCCCTTATGGGCACCCGGTCAAGACCTGGCTGCTCCACCTCTGATCCAGCTTACTGCTAATGCAACCTTGGAAAGCAACAAAAGATGGCCTAATTGCTTGGGCCTCTGCACTGATGCAGGAGACCTGGAAGAAGCTTCAGGCTCCTGACTTTGGCCTGGCCCAACTGGGCATTGTGGCCACTTGGCAAACCAGCAAATACAAGACTCTCTCTCTCTCTCTCTCTCTCTCTCTCTCTCTCTCTCTCTCAACTCTGCCTTTCAAATAAATTTAAAAATAGATTTTTAAACAGAAAAATTTCAGCTTCTTAGGAAATAGACACTGCTCCCTGGAGACAGCCGCCTCTGAGCAGGCACCAATCATGAGGCTGGATCCCAGTGCTGGTCCTAGCACCAGCCTCCCTCCTGCCTGGCCCTATCAGTATCACCTACTGGTTTTGTTTTGATATCCCCACACAGAGTATGGATCAGCCAGTGTCTTCAAAGCCAATGGACAGCTGGATGGGTGACCAAGGGCATGGAATAGCAGATGAGTTGGAGAGAGGTACTAATAGTCGCTGCTCTTGGTAACAAGGCCTCAGGGCCCTGGTGAAGGGCACTTGGCTCTAGGGGGAGATGGGTAACTGGGAGGACAGGAAGTGCTGGGGGGTGGGATTCCCACCCCACTGCTCGACCCCAGCCACCACAGTCCATGAAACAGATGCCAAGCACCTGCTGTCCTCCAGAGCAAGCAACTGTTCTATACAGTTGCCAAGGCTGTGAACTGCACAAGGGCTTCAAGCTGAGCATAGCCTGTGGCTGGCTTCCTAAACTGTGATCTTAGAGATGGCCAACCTATTCAGGGCACCATGATTGTCCCTTGCCAAGCTCTGCACCATGGGGGAGACAGTCCCATAGATCCTGGCAGGGTTGGCAGCCTGCGAGGAAACACACTGAGGAATAGGAATTGTCCTGGCGGCACTGAATCTGTGAGGTTACCTATGAACATGACTGAGGACTTGCGGAGGGAGGCCCGCGGGTTCTTGGCATACTCCAGGCTCTGGCTGAGGAACGTAAAGGCACTGTCTCGGTAGCTGTTCACCTGGGGCAAAGAGACCTCACATCATTTGGCCCCACAGGGATTAAACCACCCAGCCACCCTTCCTGAGGCCAGAAACAGTGACCCGGCCAGGAATCAGGCCCTGGCCCTGCCTTCTACACCTCTCTGTGGCCCTTCCCTCAGCCTTAGCAGCTGTTGATGGTCAGTGCTATTGCCTTCCTGCCTCAGATGCCTCCTTATCCATGCCCCTGCAGCAGCTGGAGGGAGAGTGTGCAACTGGAAACCCAGCCCGAGCTGGGAAAGGAAGGGACATGTGAGGGACACAGCAGGTAAAGGGTTCAGGGCTGACTGGGGTCAAAGATCCCATTGAGCAATGGGGAACAAACTGGCTAGTTGGGGATCTTTAAAGACCTTGACAACCAGACAGGAAAGGGGCTTGGAAAATCATAGGCAGCATTCATTCTTGACAAGGCAGTGGCAAAGCAGGGCTTGGGGCATCCCAGTTGAAAACAAGCAGTAACAAGCAGTAAGGGTAGTTTGGAAGCAGGTGTCTAGCTCAGATCGGAGGCCGTGGATGAAGATGAAGAGAAATCCAACCTGAACCAACCCCTGCATGTCAAATTCTCAACTCCCAGGCCTGGGCTGCAAGGTCATCACGGTCGTAATCCACCACCCTGAACAGAACCCATTGCACTGCCCACAGCAGGCATGTCCCTGGTCATGATGCCTGGAACATGTGCTGTGACTATGACACCATCTCTTCCACTGCATAGGAAGCTTCTGTGAGAGAGGGGACTGCCTCACTCAGCTAACCCCAGGCAGCTCCTGTCTTGCTTGGAGCAGGCACAAAGAAAGTGTCCGATGACTGAACAAGTGAACGAACAGTTTACTGACTCCTTCTGAAAACTAAGGCTGGACGTTGACCTCCAGATGAGCAAAGCCACCATAGCCTGGAGAGCAAAGAAAGAACTGAGAACCTGGAGGGGTCTAACACAGCAGTCACAGTGGCAGCCATGGGCCACATCACCTGCGGAGCAGTGACCAGCACGGCATTTTAAACAAGCTACACTCATTTCTAATTAAGTCATAAGAATGCAGGTTCTAATTATTCTGGTGGAGCTGGTGGGCCTGGCTGGTGCAGGCTGCATGCTCCCTCCCACTGCCATCCACGTCACCCATGTTCCCTATCTGTGTGGCAGAGCACAGACCACTGCATGTATGTGAATTAGCCACCCAAGCCTGGCATGCCCTCTGATATTCTTTTCTTCTGTAAAGTGATGATAAATTACAGGCAGGCTAAGATACCCTGCTCGGGACACGTGCATCCCATATCAGTGCCTGAGTTTCAGTGCTGATTCCAGCTTCCTGCTAATGTGTTCCCTGGGAGGTTGTAGGTGACACTGGTAGCCATGAGGGAGACACAGCTTGAGTTCCTCCTCTCAGCCCCAGCTATTGTACTTTCTAGAAGATGAAAGCTGGGCCCGGTGGGATGGCAGGATCCCATATGGATGCCAGTTCATGTCCAGCTGCTCCATTTCCTTTCCAGCTCCCTGCTTGTGGCCTAGGAAAGCAGTGGAGGATGACTAAATGCCTTGGGACCCTGAACCCACGTGGGAGACCCAGAAGAAGCTCCTGGCTCTTAGCTTCAGATAGGCTCAACTCCGGCCATCACAGCCACTGGGATGAACCAGCAGATGGAAGATTCTTCTTCCTGTCTCTCCTTTTTCTGTAAATCTGATCTGCCTTTCCAATAAAAATAAATCTCTTAAAAAAAGATGAGATATCTCTCCCCCTACCCATTTCTTCTATTTTTGTCTCTCTACCTTTCAAAGAAGTAAATTAGATTCTTGAAGAGTCTGTGAAATCCCCTGGCAGGCTGGATGTTGGAGGCAGGGCCCACTGAGAGATATCCCTGGCCAGAAGTCAGACTGATTGCCCATTCTGAAGATTGGGGTCAGGGTGGTTTAGGATCGTGAAGATGAATGACACACAGAGAAGAAGGAATCTGGGGTGATTCTGGATTTCTGCTTTGGGAGTAGAGAAGAGTAGAACTATCAGGCACGTGTTTGACATAAGCAGTCACAACATGACAAGGGACACCTGCATTCCTTGGAGGAGCACCTGGGTTGACTCTCAGCTCTGGTCCTGATTACAGCTTTCTGCATGCTGGCAGGTACTCAAGTAATGGGTCCCTGTCACACATGTGACCCAGACTGATTTCCAGACTCCTGGCTTTGGCCTGGCCGAGATCAGGTTGATGCAAGCATTTAAGGACTGAAGTAGAGAATGTTCTCCTCTCTCTCTCTCTCTCTCTCTCTCTCTCTCTCTCTCTCTCTCTCTCTCTCTCTCTCTCTCTCCTATCTATCTATCTTTGCCTTTCAACTAAAATTATAAGAAGTCAATATTTTTAAAGAAATCAGGGTTGGTATTGCAGCACAATAAGTTAAGCTGCTGCTTGCAGTGCCAGCATCCCATATGGATGCCGGTTCGTGTCTCATCTGTTCCACTTCTAAAGCAGCTCCCTGCATGTGGCCTACGAAAGCAGTGGAGGATGGCCCAAGTCCTTGGGCCCTGCTCCCATGTGAGAGAACTGGATGCAGCTCCTGGATCCTAACTTTAGTCTGGCCCAGCCCCCACCACTGTGGACATTTGTTGGAGAGCAAATTAGCATCTCTAAGACCTCTCTCTCCCTCTCCTTTCCCCCTTCTTTTTCTCTGTAATTCTGCCTTTCAAATAAAATAAAAATCTTTTAAAAAAAATTAAAAATGGAGGCTGCATTCTGGTAAGAGGTGTTGGTCTCGGCCGGCCAGCTAGCTGGTCAGCCAGTTGCTTTTCCTCTCATTTATAATAAAACTTTGTAATAAATAAATAAATAAATAAGGGGGAAAGGAGGGCCCTGAGTTTGGGAGACAGTGCTGCCTGGGGAAGACAGTGGGCCATCAGGGGCAAGTCACCTGAGCCTCCAGAGCAAGGCCTGGCTCTGGGAGAGGAGTCAGGGTGGAGACAGTTGCGTTAAAGCCCGAACTGCAATGTGGGAGCCAAGGAAGCAGGCACAACAGATGTAAAGAGTAGGCAGAGAGGACAACAGCGACCCTTCACATGGCCAAGGCCTCCCCAGGGGGCCACTCACAAGGTACTTGCAGATTTTGGCCACAGCCTGTTGCTGGTGGTCCCAGGGCTTCCGGCTGTAAGCTCTTTTTGGCAGATCCCACGCCATGAGGCACGAGCAGCGGAACAGGGTCTTCACGCATTTCTAGGGGCGGCAGTAAGAAGAGAACACCAGAGCCCTGCAGTTCCAGGTGTCAGGAAGATGTCCCAGGAAAAGAATGGTGGGAGTTACCACAGCAAAGGGCTGTGCCTAGAACATTAACCCACTGCCCAAGATCACACCTCCCTCGACATCCCATATGAGTGCCAGTTCAAGTTCCGGCTGCTCCACTTAGAACCCAGCTCCCTGTGAACGTACCTGGGAAAGCAGTGGAGGATGACCCTGTAGGAGAGCTAGATGGAGTTTTGGCTCCTGATTTTGACCTGGCCTTGTGGCCATTTGGGGAGTGAACCAGCAAATAAAAACAATTTATCTCTCTCTCCCTCCCGCATCCCTTCTTTTGTGTGTGTCAATCTGCCTTTCAAATAAATAACTTTTGAAGGAAAGAAAACTGAGTTGGGTAAACCCAATTCCACTTCTAAAGTAAACAAGATCAGCCTTTGGAGGAGGACTCCTGCCCTGTGGCCCTCAGGAAACACATGACCCAACAGAAGTCACTGCCCTGCTGTTTTGCTCTCTACAAGGTGGCAGAGTGGAGCCTCATCCCCAGCCATTCCACCCCTCACTCACCTGGGCCACCTTGGCATTGCCCTCCTGCATGATGAGCAGCAGAGGCACCAAGGTACTGATCAGCTGCTGCTCCACAGCATGCACACGTGGCGAGCGCAGCTTCTGGACCACCTTGCCATACAGGTTGATGCAGGAAGAGCGCACGTCCTCTCTCGCCTGGGGCAGAGGGTGGGCTCAGGGCTGCCCCTCCTTCCGGACACCCTTATTCTGCAGGGCCCTCCAGACTCCAGAGACCCACAGGTGAAGAACAGCCGAGACCACCAGTAGGGCTGATTGGGACCCTGGTTCCCCTCACCCCAAAGTTCGGTCTGGAGCTTTGGTCTCTCTACCCAGCCAAGCACCCTAGTACCAGCAGAAAAATGCCTCCTCCTGCTGAGACCAGTGAAAATATGTGTGCTCCCTTGTGGAAACCCATCACCATGAGACCATCTTCTCTGGGGAGCCTCAATTTCCAACAAGAACTCCCTCTATGAGAAGCAGCTAAACAAGGAAGCTTCTCTATGCAAACTTGATTACAAAGGACATGGACCTGTCAGACCCTCCCCTGAGCTGACCCAGCCTGTCCAGCACCTGGTAGGTGTGGCATCTGTTCCTGCCCCCAATGTCCCAGCCACATGCCACTGTGTCAATCCCTGCTGTCCCCTCCCCCATGGGACTCCTTACGTCACTGAAGTGGGGCAGTAGGACCTGTAGCATCTCCACATAGACAGAGCTGTCAGTCTGCTTCCGGTCCTGCCCCTTGAAGATGACTTTGAGGTTGTGGACTGCCTCCACCACCAGTAGCCCATCCATGCTCTTCAGCCCCTTCACCATGGAGGGCAGGAGGGCCTGCACCTTGGCCATCTGTGGGCCAGGAGCATTTGAGAGATGTATTGCCTACCTGGGCTGGCAGGTGGCAGCCTCACATCCACACAGATGAATTTAATGGCCTAATTCCCACCCCACCCCACCCCCAGGCCTTGCCTATGCTATCCCCCTACCTGAATGCCCTCTCGCAAGCTCCCAAAGCCAGAGGGCCTCCCAGACTCCCCCTGGCCTTAGTCACTGAGATCCTTTGTTGTCTTGTTCCCTCCCTGACACTAGGCAGATCATGCCTTACCTTGTTAGCTCCCCACTTCCTGTCCCTGCATCCTACCACCTCATGAGCTGCAGACAGTGCCTGGGTACCAATGATGCACCATCTGCACTTCCGTTTCTTAATTTGTAAAGTGGGAGTAACTACTACCACCCTATGTTCTTCCTATCCTCAACACCTTTTGGGTTGCTAAGAAAAATCTGAAATACCAATGCTTTAACAAAGAAGAAAATATTTAGGGGTTATTGAACCATACCTATCTTACACACGGAACAACTGAAGTTGGGACAGAAATGGGCTCTAATTTCAGGCACCAGGCTCAGAGATGGGGGTGACCAACATTCTCCATCCTTCATTTCCTCCCTCCAGTCCGGGCTGGCCTTTCTCCATGCTGCCTCCTCACCTTCTCAGTCCTGCGGGCCAGGATTGTCAGGCCTCGGATGCACAGCACCTTCATGATGGGGTCGCGGTGGCCCAGGCCCTCAGTCATCCGCCCTAGGGAGTACTCCTCTGGGATCCGCCTTACTTGGTCCAGCTGTAGGAGCTAAGGGAGGAGACAGTAAGAACCACCTGCATGTGACAACCATGAGTTCACAAAAAAGCAGGCTAGTATGGTGATGAAGGAGAGTGCTTCAATGTCCATCAGCAGGTGAACGGCCATATGGCGTGTCTGTACACTGGAACACTGCTCAGCCTGAATATAGCAGTTCCAATACATGCTACAGTGTGAGAAATCTCAGAAGTATGTGAAGTGACACAGCCAGACACAGAAAAGGACAATTGGTGTCTGATTCCACGTCTGTGAGGGGTCAAGGACAGGCAAGGTCATAGAGACAGGAAATAGAATGCAAGTGACAGGTAGAGGAAGAGGGGAATGGGGAGGGAATGTTCGGGGGCACTGAGTCATAGTTGGGGAAGGTGAACATGTTGAGATGGAGGGAGATGATGGCTGTATGACACTGAGCTGCATACTGTAGAGTGGTTACAATGGCAAGCTTTATATTGGGCCTATTTGACCACAATTTCTTAAAACACTAGGAGACTGAAGGGCCAGTGCTGTGGTGCAGCAAGTTAAGTGGCCACCTGGGATGCCAAAGCCAACATCTCATATTAGATGGAGAGTTGGTTAGAGTACCAGCTGCTCCACTTCTGATCCAGCTCCCTGCTGAAGCACCTAGAGCACACAACACCAGATGGCTTGGGCCTCTACTAATACATGGGACACTTAAATGGCTTCATCCCAGGCTCCTGACTTTGGCCTGGCTCAACCCCAGTTGTTGCAGCCATTTGAGGCGTGAACCTGCATGTGGAAGATCTCTCCCCCCTCTCTCTGTAACTTTGTCTTTCAAGTCAATAAATGGCTAAAAAGAGGAGGAGGAAAGCAGAGGGAGAGAAAGAAGAAGCAGATGGAGAGTTCAGAGCTCAGGTGTCACAGTTCAGATCCCGAGTGTGCACCTCAGCTTCCTCCTGTAACCCAGAGCAGGGCATCTGAGCGGCAGTGTGAGAGTGAGAAGGAAAGGAGTCAGGGCTCAGGGAGTTCAGGCCAGTGCTCAGAGCTAGGGCAGCACTCAGTAACCAGCAACGATATCACCCCTCGGTGAAACTCCCCTCCATGGGGCTATCCCTGCCAATTTCCCTCTGCTCGCCTCTGCCCGGCACCCACGCCATCCATGGGGTGGCCTCAGTGTCCCCTGCCACACTAAGGATTCCTCCAGGCAGGGTGGCATCGAAGTCAAGCTTGTAGCTCTGGTGCCTAGCACACAGAGGCACCTGACAAAAGTGGTGCTTGCCTGAGGTGCCAGGGGTAACCTGGGGCAAAAACAAAACAAGACAAGACAAGACAAAAAAAAAAAAAAAACAGAATAGGATGGAAGGGTGCATGGAGAGAGGAAGGAAGGAAAGGACTCATGGGTCTCCATGTGCACAGACAAGGTTCCAGGAAAGGCTCTGTGCCACCTGCACAGGGGAGCAGCCAGTGACATGGGTGGAAGCCCTGAGCAGAAGCCCCACCCTGAGCCTGGAGCCTGGTGGGTACCTCCACGAAGAAGGCTGTGGCTGTGATCTTGTGCTTCTCATCACCGCGCTCCAGAAGTGGGATGAGCAGGTAGAGGATGCGGCACAGCTCCTGGCAGGAATAGTGCACCATGGCCCTGGGGTGGCACAGGGGGAGTGGTCACTCAGGCTCTGCAGCCCTGGCAGGAGTTTCGGGGGAGGCAGTGGGAAGGCTGCTGAATGGGCATCTAGCTGTGACATTGGAAACCTTAGGCAAGGGTTTGCATGGCCGGGGAAGCGCTCCAGAGGGTCATTTCCCAGCTCTGCTGCTTCCTGGCAGCTTGACCTGGGGACTCCAATCATAGCACCTAAGGACCATGGCATGTGAGCCACCTCTCTGAGGGCCCTGGACTCACCTTGCCAGTAGCGACACTCCACGGTGGTGATTCTCCGCCTGCCCCATCAGCTCCCAGCCACCTTGGTCCTCCAGAAAGGTGGCCTCATAAGAGCAGCCCATCTTCAGTAGCAGCGTTTTCACCACTTTCACCACCCAGCTGTGGGGACAAGAGTGAGAGGCCCTTCAGGTGCCCCAGGCCCAGCTCCTCTCACAGTGACCACTGCCAGGCTCATGAGACAGGGTAGTCAAGTGTGTCCCCCCAGGGAGGCCTTTTACACCTGGCACTTGGCTTTGAAGACCAGAGAGGAAACAGAAGCAGAGCTACTTACCCTCCCCTCCCACGTCCTGCCTCCCTTCCCTCCACAGCTGGGTGGGCCGAGCGGTTCTCTCCGCTGCTTTGGACGCGTGGAAGCTCAGATCCTTGGACAGTCCCAAGGTCAGGATGCAGGAGGTGTGACTCTTAAACCAGACACCCCTCAGAAGTCCCTTGGGAGTTCTGCACCCTGCAGACTGACTGGGGCTCAGTGCTTCCCTGACTCCCACATGAGCTCAAGAAGCACTGCCCAAGGGCACTGCCGTTATTGACCTCCTACTGCATGCCTGGTGAGGCACTTAGTGTTCACACATGTGAGACAAGTATATACCAGAGAGAGCTTTGTAAACCTATATTCAGCTAAAGATGGCAATATGTGAAAGTAAGCTTACATTTCAGCATAGTTTTCCAGAAGCCTCAACATTTGGCTTCAAGCATTGACAATGCACCTGCATGGAAATGCAAATGCATCCAGTGGACAGGAGGAGTCTCATGATTCCAGATAAAAGAGCAAATTTGGAAAATGGTCAGTCCTCAGGAACTGCTCCTCATGTTCCTGCTTTTGTTTTTTGAATGGCTGGGATCCTGTGTGGCCTATGGGCCAGGGCTTGGGCAAGCTTGCAGCATCTGTGCTGATTCTTGGATGTGTGTGCTGTTAGGGACAGTCCCTACAGCAGCAACGCCTCTCAGTTACACACAAAGGCAGGAAGAGGGTGGCAGGCCCAGGGGGCCTCCCCATCCTCCATCTACCTCCAGCGCCAACTTGACTGAGTGGCTCGGCTGAGGCGTCAGGTTGGTTTCTGCCTGGAGCAGAAAGGTGGCTCTCTTCCACAGCCAGTGTCGGCTCCCTCAGCACAGGCACATGAGGCACCTGTACACGCTCTTCTTGTGACTTGATGGTGCAGGGTCAGTCAGCAGTGTGGGGATAGCCCAGAGCTCATAGGGAATGGTTTGCTCAGAGGTTCCAGGTGGCAGAGCCTGGGCAGTCCTGAGGCCCTCGGACTTGTAGCCGGGGACAGCACACATGCAGATCAGGGGCTGCTCTGAAGAGCTGATGCTTCGGGGAGGAAGCCTGTAGTGGTGGGATGTTAGCTCCCAGACTCCTACACTGCAGGTTTCACCCTCATGGGAGGTTTTCTCAGGGGTCCAGGGCAGGGTACACCTTGAACATGCGTTGTTCTTATGGACAGGGCTCGGGGATCCAGGTTGTGTTTAATCAGGGGCATCATGGGTCTCAGGGCTGGTGTGTACAGAACTAACATCACCTTCACTGCCATAGCCTATCCCCGTGTGCACCAACACCCTCCCCAGCTCCTCGCTTCCTCATCCTCCCAATGCATCTTCACATCCTGCCCCGTCATGTCTGCATCTCTTCTCAACCGATGTGCACACCTGCTATTGGATGCATGCCTGGCTGGTTCATCTAGCATGCTCTTACCCAGGATCCTTAATAAACACCTGCAAAGACCTTTTCTCCAAATAAGACCACAGTTCCAGGTAGACGGATCTTTGAGGAGCACCACTTAGTCCACTACACCGTAGCACTGTCTGTGGCTTCTCTGGTCACCTCAGTCCATTACTTGCCCACCTCAGATTTTTCTACCTCACACATGTTTACAGGACACAGAGCTGAGATGGACACGCCGGTTCTCTCCTGGCTCCTGCTGTGCTTCTGGCTAAGCAAAGCCCTTTGTGCTGGATACCATGGCCTGCCTCATTCCATCCTGTCCACGATGTGCCCGCCACTTGCCTGACCCACCCTGTCTTTGTGTTTGCTCTCCCACAACACCCACCTCCTGCCCCACTTTATTGGTCAAGGGCTTTCTAGCCAGCACCTACAGGCATGAGGGGACTTGGAACCAGAACACATGACCAACACATAGCATTGCACTGGGATGCTGAACTATCTGGTTCTCATGATGCACCTATGGGGGAAGGAATCACTCATTTTAGAGGCAAGGAAACCAGCTGCCAAGGGGTGAACTCAACTTACACAAGTGCAAAGGACCAAGTGATGGATTTGAATCCAAGACTTTCCGAAGTCAGGCCCAGTTTGCTTGTCCTCAGCCATCCTAGACACTGCTGTGTGAGCCTTACACACACCAGGAATCGGAAAGGAAAAGACTGAGAAATTTAGCTGTGTAAAAGCATCTGAACTTTTGAAGGGCTGAGGACCACACAATAAGTACGGGTTAAGTGATGGACAAGTAAAAACAACTGAGTCATTTCCTTCATATGTAATGAACTCTTACACAGTGATAAAAGACACCCCCAGCTGTCCTATATGAAACTGGGCAACTGGCAAGAATCCATGGTTCACAGAAATGGAACACCAACGTCATCTAAGCCCCCACCTCACTCAGAAGAGAAATCAGCAAACAATAACTACAGCAAAATTCTGCTGTTTTCAACTCTCAATCCACTGTGCTGGCCACTGTAGGGAAACAGACACCCCGAGCCCCTGGAGGTGAAGGTGGCCATTGGCGTGCTAGGAACTTTAGGAATTGCTTCATCTTAGTCACTCAATGCAGAGGAACCTCTCTAGCAGGCGCTTGCATGCCACCTTCACATTTAGCACAGCAGCCTTTTTGCTGTGCCCATTCTGCCTTTCTCCTCCACCCATAGCAGCCTGTGTGCCTGTGTGCAGCAAGCAGACTTACTCACTGCTGCACTGTTACAAATACTAGAGGGAGCCTGATAGTATATATTGTGGCACACTGTAGGTAGGACTGCTGTGCACCTGCTACAGAAAAGCAAGGAGGTTCAGCATGTAACTAGCTGAAAGACACCCTGTGTGATAGACACAACAATGCAAGGGATGCTGCCTCTGGTGTAAAAATAGAGACTATCAGCAGTTCATTGGCTAATCTTCACACAGGCTTCTTCTGGAAAAGCATGGAAGCAGCACAGCTTGGGGAAACCCATGGTGTGGGTTAAAGTGTGGGACAGGAGGGATGATGAGGAGGAGGGGGTCGGTAGATTAGGTATGAAGGGAGAGTGTCTCTGCCGATTCCTGTGTTGAAACTTGGCCACCATTGTGGGGTATTAGAAGGATGGGCATTTACTCCATGTTCTGAGGTGACCAAGATTAGATACAGTTATCAGGGTGAGATCCCGTGACCAGATTCTGCTGGTTTTGTAAGAGAGACCAGGGGAGACACATACATGCACTGCTTTACCTGCCAGGTGACGCCTGTGCCATCTTGGGTCTCTGCCAGCAGGAAGGCCATCGCAAAACACAGACCCTTGTCCTTGGACCAGAACAGTAAACCCAAACCAACCCCTTTGCTTTGTAAAGTGATTCATCAGAGTTGAGAAAGACTACTACAAGGCTGGAGAATGGCTCCTGAGTTTCCACCCAGGGGTATATATTGCCTATTTCACCTAATCATGAAGGAGAAAATGGTGGCCCTGGACCTGCACCTGCTATAAACAGCACCATGGGCAGGCTTTGTAGTGCAGTGAGTTAAGGGGCTGCTCGGGGCACCCACCATATCAGATGTCATTTTGAATCCCGGCTAATTCCTTGTATGATTTAGCTCCCGGTTCCTGTGCCTGGAAAGGCAAGATGATGATGATCCAAGGGCTCGGGCCCTTCCACCCACATAGGGGACCTGGTTGGCATTCCTGGCTCCTGATTTCAGCCCTGGCTTTTCTGGGTATTTGGGGAGTGAACCAGTGAACGGAAAACCTCTCTCTTTTTCTCCCTTCCTCTCCCACTCTCTCCATCAGCCTGCCTTTCAAATAAATAAAATATATATTTTAAAAATACTATCTTTGGGGAGTGAGGATGAAAACTTCTATGGTGGGGGAGGCCTGTTCTGTCCTGGCATCCACAAGGTGTCCACAAACAGCTCAGCTCTTACATGTTGTGCTACTGTGTGCTTCTGTTTTCTCTTCTGGCCCCAAAGCTAGTATCTAGTGATTGGTTGCCTTAAGCACATATGAGGTAGGGAACCCCTTGCTGGTGTCCCCTGTCCTTGCCAGAGCCAGCAGAGGGCAGGGTTGGGGGGCAGGGGGGTGAAGAGAAGGACCAGAACCTACCGCACAGGGACGAAGACCGGAGGCTGGGCTTCGTTCTTGGCGCACTTGGCGTCCTTGCGGGGAGCCACGCGGCTCGGCAGGTTGAGGCCAATGTGGTAATGCACCTGAATGAGCAGGGCCAGGAGCAGCTGCGGGTAGATCCGCCTCACCCGGCCCATGCAGCTGTTGACTGACAGGAGCTCACACAGGCCGCTGGCCGCCTGGGGGAAGAGGGGAGGCTGCTGGAGTGACTAAGGACCCCCACCCACACCCCGCTACTTCTCCGGGGTTGGGCTTGCGGTCAGCCTGGATGTCCAGCCCACGGCCCAGGCTGTGGCTCTCTGGGTACGTCTTGTTCTTGAGCAGCTTCATCCCATGGCCTTGAGCTTAGAATCCCTGGAGGAGTCTGCATAGAGGGCCCCTCCTCGCCTGCAGAGAGGTTAAAGGCTTGATCTCATTTTACCTGTGACAAGCTAGGCACAGAGGGGAGCTGACTGCCCAGGGTCACCCAGACCCTTGGGGACAGAGCTGAAACTTGAACTCTGGTGGGTCCCCTTGGAGACAAGTGACTTGTTGGGGGCTGAATAAGAATGAAATCTGACAGCGGAGCTGTGGCTTACAGGGGCAGAAGCCTTCCCACAGGTGTGTGCTATCTCAGCCAGTGGGACCGGCCAGGCAGGGCTCATCACCCGCTCGGTTTGCAGAGGGAAACCTGTGCTCACAGCGGGAGGTGTTGACAGAGCTAAGACCAGCTTCATAGACTCAGTGCCCTTACACACTTCCGTAGCCCTAAGCAAAGGACTGAATCCAGAGCAAAGCATCTAGGTGTGCTCAAAAGTCCCCAGGTATTGTATATAGAGCTCTAGGCGCCACCTTGCCCAAACCATCTATCAGGACACACAATAAAAGCGAGTCCAGGCTACTTGCATGTTCAGTGTGCTTGTGGGACACCATCAGTGGTGGGGTCCACACTATTCTACTTCCAGGTGTAAAGACTGAGCCTTGCGGGGGGTGAAGGGACTCACCCAGTAGCACAGCAAAACCAGAGTTTAGTCTGCTGCTGCTGGACCACTCTGTGTCCACTGTCCCAGGCTGCCGCTATCAACCGCAAGAGGGCGCTAATGCTCCTGTCCACTCCAGCAAGAGCCTGAAGGCAGACACCTGGCCAAGGCCACGCACTTGGGGGCCCAGGAAGCCAGGCATGCGGAGCCCAGTCAAGGAAGGGATGGGGGAGGACGGACAGGTGCAGAGGCAGTGATGGGAGCAGGTAGCTGGTCCTCACCGCCAGGGGCACGATGGAGGCCCTGCCCTTTTTGGTGACGGGCTTCTCCTTCAGGCTGGTCAGCAGCAGGTCCAGGAGGTCACGGACATCACAGCTGGGCTTGCGCAGGATCAGCTGCCGCCACATCTCTGCCCCGTTGCTGCCAAGGGTTGTGGGGAGAGAGTTAACCCAATTAGCCCCACGTGGTTCCTCAAGGGACAAGGTACAAAGTCCGTGCAGGAGCACCCGTGGGCACATGCTGGCAAGAAATGAGCAGGCTCAGAGAGGTCTGAGGAGCTGCAGGTCAAGGCGTGACCAGATCTACCAAGGAGCAAGAATCCTCTGGGGCCTGAGTATCACCCTTATTGCCATCTTTAGATGGCGACTACCCACCCCTGGCCCTCAGAAGGCAGACCCCAGATGGGGACAGCACATGGCTTGCCAAATGCCAGCCTGCAGCACTCCCATCACAGCAAGCAGAGAAGACTGATGAGTGCATAAACTAAAGGGTTAAAAACTCATTTCCCTCCAGCAGCAGGGCTGAACCTTCCATCCATTGCCCAGCTCTGTTCCCCTAGAAACCTGAGAAAGAGCATGCTAACTACGTTGCTAGGCAACATTGCTTAGGGCAGCAAAGCAAGGAGGTAAATCTGTACATTGTATCAGGACAGGGAGACACTAGACACTAACTCTAGGAAGTTTCAGCAGTCAGGGCCTAGCTGGATTTGTCGTTGTGGGTACATGGAAGCAACTGTGGGGAGCATAGCACCCACACCTGCCCTATGAATCACTTTCTCTCACTTGGGAGGCCAGAAAGGGAGATACCAGCTTCTAGACTCAATGTCAACACCAGGGGTGAGGAAAGTGACTCAGACAGGGTGCACACTTTAAGGAGGCCCTTGCTTTGGGGCTGGTGCCAGTGCATGTGTGTCCTCTAGGAGGAGAGTGCCACCTTAAATGACAGGCCCTGTGGAACTGGCTGGCCTTGCTCCTTGGCCAGCTCTGGGACCACTGCTGGGAGGAGCTCCTGTGACCCCGAGTATACCCAGGGCAGCTTGTAAGTCTGAGTGTTTAGTGGCTGCAAGAGGCGAACCCCAGACAGGCGGCAGAGTCAGAAACTATGATGTTCTTGAAGGTGAGAGGATGGAGTGGGTCCTCAGGGCTGTCTCCACCTTGAGTGACCTTGTTTTCCACACAGGACACCACTGTCCCTCCCAGAGCACTCTGTGTGTGTGCAGTTCTGCATGGTGATTTTCCAGTGACGCTCAACAAGCCAATGCGTTTCCTGACCTGGGAGGCTGAGGCCAGCCACATGGGTCACCATCAGCCTCCATCCCCTCTGCCCACTGCATCCTCAAGGCAGTGGGTGTGGAGGGCTCCCCTACATGGATCCAGGCCCATGTGTGCACCTTACTCAGCTGGCTGCACTACTTTGCCATGGCCACTGCCTGGCGAAGGAAAACAGAAGTTATTTTCTCCTTTGGTCTATGAGAGAAAACAGAAGCCCCGAGTAGGCAAGCAGGCTACTTGGAGCAGGGTCGGGACACACACTCAGGTCTCCTCCCTAGAGCAGCACTGAGCAGGCTCTGGGCCTGGAGTCCATCAGCTCCAGGGCAGGCCCTTGTTCTGCTGCTTGCTCAACAAGCGTTCAAAGCAAGAAACTTCCCCTGCACCTTGGTTTCCTCATCTCCAGAATGGGGCTGAGGTGAGAATGTAGAAGCCACGCTAACTCCCAGCACTGACACCCAACAGCGTTCCTGGGTGCGGAGTGGGCACCTGAAGCCCAATGATCACAGAAGGAGCTGTCTGGAAGGGCAAGGGGCTTCTCTGGGCAGGAGGAGGTTTCCCAGTCCAGGGTGGGGCTGATGAGTAGTGGCTGATGACCCCTTCTCACGTGGTACCTGTCCAGCGGGAGGGGACACATCAGGAGGGCCACCACGACCTCGGTCATAAAGGAGCTGGCCAGGAGGGAGACGGGCAGCAGGGCCACCTCACGGGCCCGGGGCTCCTGGATGTGGCTCAGCTGCATGTAGATTCCTTGCATGATTTCCGGGATCTGGGGCAGAGCAGGGGTGGGAGGTGGGGGGACAGCTGTGAGCAGGCAGGAGGGAAGAGTGGGGGAGGGGCAGTGGGGAGGAGGGAGGAAGAAGGAAGAAAGCAAGGAGGGATGGATAGGATGGGGGCCCCTTTTCCTGCTCCAGCCACTCCAGGAGTAGTAAGGGACAGGCCTGCCATGTGGGAGGCCCAGCCCGGCCCAGCCCAGCCCAGCCCAGCCCTTCCCTGGTGCTCGGGGTAAGAGACCCACACCTCCACCATAGTGCACGTTGTCAGGCAGGCTGTCCCAAGGAACGGCACATGCCTGGTATGTGTGTGTGTGTGTGTGTGTGCACTCTCGTGAGTATGTATGTGTGTGTATGTGTGTGTGTGTGTGTGTTTCAGACCCCAGTGACATTCCAGAACCTGCACTCCACCCCCAGGTCTTACCACCTCCAGCGCCCTGTGGCGGTACCACTCCAGGACCGAGCTGAGGGTAACCTCCGAGGCCAGCTGTACCATCTCCCCGGAGTCCTTCCCCGGGGTCTCTGGGCTGCCTTTGAGCCCCTCCAGGGCTGCCAGCAGCAGGTCCTTTACCTGCTGGGGCCCCAGGAAGTCTCCGAACTCCTGAAACACAGGCACATGGGACGAGGGAGCCTGACGAGGGGGCCACGCACATTCAGGTGTTAGATCTGAGTGTTGGATCCTTTGGGGGAACAGCCACACAATTTGGGGTGTCAAGGGCGACTAGGACAGTGACATGAATCATGGAATAAAAGGCCACAGGTCATGGACCATGGCAATGACCAGAGGAATGAGAGGAAGCGGCACTTAGGATGGACTCCCATGCTGGTGTGGTTGGGGAAGGCTAGCAGCCAAGAGACCTTACTTAACCTGCCCTGCAAACAGGAAGGCAAAGAGCAGGCATTTGGGACCCAAGGCCATTCCCTTCTTGCCTCCCTGCCCCCGCAAGGGCTCTGGGGTGCTGGGTAGGGGTGGCCAGTCACCGCGATCACACGCAGAATGTTCTGACAGGGGCTGACGGGGTTGTAGGGCCCCAGGAAGCGCTTGTTGCTCTCATACAACTCCTTCTTGTTGGTTTCCTCTTTATCTCTGGCTCCTGCAGGGAGAGACCTTCTCAGTGAGGCCTGAACACCTGGCTTTATTATTATTATTATTATTATTATTATTATTATTAAACCCAAGAATTCAAATCTTAAGGAACCAGACTGATCCGTTCTTACAGACCATCCCCATGTGGCCGGCACCAGGTGAGCAAACAGAGCTGATTCAGCAACCCAGAAGCCCCTCCTGAATGTCCTTGCCAGTCACTGTCTTCCTCCCACACCTAGAACCATCGTTATCCTGATTGTTCAGCCAATACTTAAGAGTTCCACTGAGTATTTCGGGATTCAAGAACAATGTTCTCAGGCCCAGCGTCATAGCCTAGTAAAGTCCTCGCCTTGCATGTACCAGAATCCCATATGAGTTCGTATCCCGGCTGCTCCATTTCCCCTCCATCTCCCTGCTTGTGACCTGGGAAAGCAATAAAGGATGGCCCAAAGCCTTGGGAACCTGCACCCATGTGGGAAACTCAGAAGAAGCTCCTGGATCCTGACTTCGGATCGGCTCAGCTCCAGCTTTTGCAGCCACTTGGGGAGTGAACCAGCAGATGGTAGATCTTCCTCTATATCTCTCCTTCTGTTTGTAAATCTAACTTTACATAAATAAATAAATAAATAAATAAATAAATAAAATTTTAAAAACTATGCCTTTTGGGTCTGGATCCTCTGCACAAAACATGCTAGGGAGTGTGACTGGTCTACCCTGGGAAACAAGTGCCAGTTCTTGCACTCATTCCCAAAGCTAGATCATTTTCCAGGGTCTGAGCACTCCCAGCGTACACAGCCTGCCTGCTGTGCTGGACCGGAGGCTGTGAGCAGCCACTCCGCCTGGTGCTGCTGTCTCTCCGCATGTGCTAGCTAGCCCTAGGAGTGGAGATGTCAGGCCACAGGGCAGCCCTCAGGCTCAGCTTTCCATGTGGCTGAGCCATTCACTTGGGGCACCCATGGCGTTCCCACCGGCAGTGTATGAGGGACCCATTGTGCCACATCTTGCCCACACGTGGTTCTGCCTCATTTTTAATCCTCCTGGTGGATGAGACTATCGTTAAATTAACTAGGATTGGGTCAATCAATCAGGCCCCAGTCAGATGCTGGGAAGTGAATCTGGGTCTTCCCATATGGGTACCAGTTCAAGTCCCAGTGGCTCCACTTCCAATCTGGCTCTCTGCTCATGGCCTGGGAAAGTAGCAGAAATTGCTGCAAGTGTTTGAGCCCCTAAACCCACGCGGAAGAGCTGAAAGAAGCTCCAGGCTCCTGGTTTCGGATCAGCTCAATTCTGGCTGTTGCAGTCATTTGAGGAGTGAATCAAAGAATCTGATACCATGGAAAGGTAATAGTGACAATCACGGGTTAAACTTAAAAGGGTAAGGAAAAGTCTAGATAGAAGGGTTGTTTACATCAAGACAGGCTTGTTGGAGGCCCCTATCCCGTGGTTCTGCAGGGACCACAGCTTCACACCAGTTTCCACTGTCCCCACTGAACCCTACGCCAGTATCCTCCGTCGGCCCCTGCCTTTGGCCAACCAAGGCTGCAGCTGATTCCCAAGCAAGTCACTGCCGGGAGTGGACCAGAGGGCTTACGTTTTTGGAGTTCCAGGATCGTGTAGAGGATGATGATGCCATCCAGAGCCTCCCGGCCAATCTCCTCATCAGGGTCTCCAATGCGAAGGATGAGCCTCCCCAGGAGAAGACCCAGCGCCGGGAACCCTGAGGACATCTGTTGGAGTCGTAATCTTAGGGCCTGAGGCATGTGGACTCGGTAATGCTATACAGTCAACAGCAAGCTGAGCTGGACAGTCTGACCCTGGCAGAACCCTGAGCGGAGAGGACTCTGCTTAGAAGTGTTCACCCCTCCCAGGAAGCACTCACAAAGAAGGGCAGGGTCAGAAGCGTGTGGTTCAACACAGAGACATTGCTGTTCACAGCCCGTGCTCGCTCGTGCGCCTTCCCAGAGTTCATCCAGGGGCCCAGAGGCTGTGGAATAGGACAAGACTCAGAACTGCTGCCAGGGGACGAAGGAGCTCAAGCCAGCTTGTACCAGAGGAGTAGGGACAGCTGAAGCTGTGTGAGGGACAGTGAGCATGATGGGGTGAGAATCCCGCAGGCCCAAGAGAACACCCTGAAGTCAAATCACTCCTGTGGGTCCAGTCCTACCCTGCTCCCCCTTCAGTTCCTGCTCATTTCTTGCCTCTGCCTTTTCTCCCCCTCCCTTCTCTACCCCAACCTCACACCTCTCCCCCACCCCCCGCACCTCCAAGATGCTCTTCAGCCCGGCCGGAGTGGGGTCCTCAATGAAGAGGGCATTGAGCAGCTTCTGCAGAGCATCCAGGGTCTGATGGTAGAGGGTCTGTGGACAGGAAAGGGCCAGGCTGCGAGGGGCTCGCTGGAGTTGATGCCAGCCCCAGGCAACCTCTGTGTGCAGCCAAGAGAAGCGGCACTGCTTTCTGGTCCCAGCTCTGAAGGCAAGCTGAGATCTGATGTTAGCTGCTTCTTCTTCTTCTTCTTCTTCTTCTTCTTCTTCTTCTTCTTCTTTTTTTTAAATAATCTTACTTAGTTGATTAGGGTACAAAGGGTCAAGGGCTACAGGTAACTGGGTAATACCATTGTTTCCACACTAATATCATCATTTTTCCCTGTATCTGAGGTAAGGGGAGAAAAAAAGGGAAAAGCCCCACCCAGGCTCCCACCCATCCCAGGTCCCCGATGTGAGGCATGCTCTGAGGGTTCTGTTCAAGCAGTTTTGATAGTTCAACAGTTCTGAACTGCTGCCAGTCTCACCATTCCAATGAGCTGATGGATGATGTGAGACAAATGGCTTCCCTCCCACGGGTTGCAGTCGGTCCATCAGTAACTGACAAATGAGGCATCCACATCCTGCTCCTCTCACCTTAGGGTGCCACCATACACTGAGACTGTCCCAGGGGACACACAGTGCATGCTGCCTGTAAATGGTGCCACATTACTTGGGTCTCACGTTCTTTTTATCCTTTTGCAAATGAGGGGTTATCTGTCCCAGGTCATGCCACAAAGGGATTTTCAACGTAATGAACAGTCTAGGGGATGGATAGGCACACGTTCTAGCCAAAGAAGAGGGTCTCATCCTCGCTTGCGTTATCTCTAATTCTCTGTTGTGCTGCCACTCCTAGACCCAGAGAGATTTCCCAACTTGTCCCTTAATGGAGCCATCCCTCCTCTCTGTTCACAGTCTTCACCTCTGGGCTACTCCACAGTCCTGACCGCAGGCAATACACATATATTAAACTGAGCAATGGGTTTCAGGTTCTATAGGAAGACCCTACCTCTCTTGTCACTCCAGTCTGTCTCATCAGTTATCACTGACCAGCCTTCCAGGGTCAGCACACCCTTCAGAGCCGTAGTCCTTAGGGTGACAGCACCCACACCACGTAAGCCTCACTGCCTACCTGGTGGGCCACCAGTTGCTGACTACTGTGCATCACTCCCCTCTGCTGGTCATCTCTGGAACTGCAGCAGAGAGGCCCCGCTGCCCCAAGGCACCCTTGATTTTCTTGAGACTCTGTGCATGCGCTGCAAGACCTAGCTCCCTCATGTGTAACCTGGTCCACTCTCCCTCTCCCAGAAGTCTTGCCTGATGCTTGAACGAGGACACCAAGCAGCCCCTGTCCACAGGTCTCTCTGTCTGCTCCTGCTGCCAACCCCTCCAGCTAACAAGCTCTTTGATCTTTCAGCTCTGCCAACGAGACCCCTGACACCACCTGGGCCATGCCTCCATTCCAGGATCTGTGCAGTATGGAGCACTGGGCTGGCCTGGGACATGTGGCAGAGAAGGGAGGGGAGCTGCCTGAGGCTGCAGCTGCTCAAGCAGGCACCAACCCAGGGCAGCTCTCACACCCAGAGCCTCTGATGTCCCCGGCCAGCCTCGCCCCTCATTCCAGCAATACTGATGCCTTCCCCTACCCTCCACAGTGCCCTGCCTCACCTGAATGGCCTCGGCCTTGGCCTCATCCTTCTCTTGCATGGCCTGCACAGAGGGCAGGGAGAACACGCTTTGCACACATGTGTTGACCAGCTCCGACCGCTCCCGCACGCCCAGGCTGGGCTGGGTGTGACTGGGAGGGAGAAACCATAAGGGTGCCAGGTCAGGGATGGGGCCTTGGGCTAAGGGCGCAGGGCTGGGGTGATGAGGTCGCTGGGTCCAGGCAGGGGAATGGGAGGGGAGGTTTAGACGACACATAGCGGGGGATATCAGCAGAAAGGGCAGGGACTGGGTATGGGGCCAGTAAAAGGCCCAAGGGAGTGATGGGAGTGCAACACAGAGACAGATGGGGCCCCGGGAAGAGGGAAGAAGAGTCGGGGGGGGGGGTACCTCAGCTGTGTCAGGGTCTCCATGGCCTGCCGCCGGACGGAGCTCGAGAGCGAATCCCGCGGCTCCTCCTGGATCTGCCTCTGGACAGGGGATTACAGAGGGGTCCGTGAGGGCGTGGAGCTGCTGCAGCCCACCCAGACAAAACCATCCTGCTATCATGGATGACAGCAGAAGGTGCCCACCAGCGTGGGCTGAACTCCCTGTCAGCCTTGCGTCCTGCCTGGCCTCCCTCCAAGGGGCCTGAGACCCTTTCTGAGCCCGCACACAGAGCATCACAGCCCTGGCCAGCCACAGGCCCACATGGCATGGGCAGGGTCCTGCAAAGCAGTGTCTCCCATGGCATCATGACGGAAGCATAGTCAGAGCCCACACTGGCCTTAAGCGGGGGCCACCAGGCACCAATTTTGGAAACTGCTTGAATATCTTGAAAAACGTCCTCACCCTCACCTACACACAGTAGGTGCTCAGATATGAGGAGATGGGACAAGAATTCTTTTTGCTTTCTCTCTCTCTGAGACACACTAAGCCAGGTGTAAATTTGGAAAGCTCAGTGTTCATTTCTGGCTGGTCTCCATGTGGATGGCTTAACGAGAGGAGACTTTTTGCAGAAATGGGGAGAGGAAGGAAGACTTTCTGAGGGGGGAAGGGAATGTATTACAAAATGAAAACTCAGGCTCAGGTGCCCAAGGGTTAGCAACAGAACAGTCATTGGGCTATGTTCTCCCAACTACACAGGCATGCCACACCCCTTTCCCAGATGGGAAGAGTGAGGCTCAGGGAAGAGAAACAAGTCATCCCAGCTCCCTAAGAGCAAGTGGAGAGCAGACAGAGGCAGGGCTGTGACTCCGGTCCCCAGTCCTGGCTCCCCATCATTCTTCCCCCCCCCCCCCGGCTCCAGGTCCCATCAGCAGTTGAACTGGAGAGCTGTCACTCTTGGTCCCCCACCAATGCCACAGACCCGCATATGGCTCCCGCACCATCATCTTCTTCATCATGGTCTTCTTCTCTCCTGCTTCCAGAAGATCCTGTTTCTCCTGGTGGGTGCTCATCTTGTCCGCCTTGAGGGGGCAATGGAAGGCAAAAACCACAGGATGAAACCCCGCACCCCCAGTCCTTGGAGCCGCCCACATAGTACCTCTTAAAATGATCTGGTATCCCATAGGCAAATCAGCCTTAGCTGTCAGCCCTAATGTCACCAGAAGAACCTGAGGGTGGGGTACGGACTGGGACAACTCAGGGTCGGGGGGAATCCTGGAAGCCAGCATTTGGAGGAGGGCTGCAAAGCACCTTGTTCTTTCCAGTCACCTTCAGGGAAGGACAGAAAGGGTCCCACCCTCTAGTCTTGAAACTCCACTTCCGAAAGATCAGACCACAGCATTTTGTCCTTGAGCAAGGGGACACATTAATCCATGCACAGTTAGTCTGTTAGTTCCCACCAGCTTACAGCAAAAGGACAAAAGAGAACCAGAAAAATTAACTTCATTTAGTGGAGAAAGCAGAGCGGGCTAAAGCCATGGAGAGTGTGATGGGCTAAAGACAGCCGTGAGATCCTCTCAGGCCTCCCACAAAGCAGACAGGTTCCCTTACAACCAGCAGTGGCCAGTGGAAGCGCTGCAGAGGCTATGCTGAGCCAGGTACTGGCCCGCTCTAACACTCTGGACTTCAGCTTGCTCATGTTGCAAGGCAGCCCAAGGAAGGAAGAATGAGAGATGATGTGGAAAGAGGTCCTGGAAGGTGAGGGGTCGTGGCAGCTGCTCCAGCCTCACCCTTCCCCTCAAGTTCATCTCACTCCACACCACAGAGAGCTGAGTACACCCTAGAGGCTGAGGACACGGCTGTGATTAGGGCAGACTGGGGTAGGGAGCTGGTGCAGGCAACAGACAAGAAGGTGGAGGCATGAGGATGGCGCACAGGGCCACAGGCAGCGAGGGACACGTGGGAGGGAAGAGCAGGTGGGTGAAGGTGCGAGGAACTGCAGAGCCGCAGGGCTGGACAGGAGGCAAGCCCTCCCACTACCAACCTCTCTCTTGTCCGGCCCCTTTGTCAGGCGTGAAGTCACTTCACTGAAGGCTCCTGGTCCGAGGAGAAGAGGGCAGAGAAAGGGAAGCAGATGGTGTGCCCAGGGTTCCAGAGTCCCATCTGCCCTCCCCCACCAGACCACCCTGACATGTTCCTTCCTGCCACAGCTACAATGTGCACATCAGCTCGGTCCCCTGCCCTCTCTGACATTCTTCCAGGGTGCCCCGCTTCATGCAGCATGGAACACACATCACTGCCGGGGCCTTCACGGTCAGCCCTCCCTTGTCATCTCTCTTCTCTGTCCCCCTGCCCAGCCTCACCCCTTTCTCATCATGTCTGGCCTCCTTGCAGCTGCCACCCCACACTCCCACCCCAGGAGCCTCTTCAGGGCCTTTGTACAAATGCTTTCCCCTACCTGGGCATCCCTCCTCCAGGTCTCTGCCTGCCTGCCACCCCTCAGAGAAGCCTCTGCTGACCACCAGACTACACGAGGATCCACTGCACCCTCCCATCATGCCCTCTTGCCCTCTCTCAGCAGTTACCCCAATTTCTAACTTAACCCCTACTAGGTATAGGGCTGTTTGTCAAGTTCACCCTCCCCTCCTGTTAGTGAAAGAGCCCCTGTCTCCACAGGGGCTCATTCTGTGGATTCTCATTCTGTGTGATTGGCAAGGCTGGATGCTGCAAGCTCCACCCATCAGCCCTTCTTCCAACTGGGGGGCCTGAACTCCAGCTGGGTCAGAGTGCCCAGGCCCCAGCCATAGTAATTGGCCCAGGGGCAAACAAGAGAGGCCTTCATGAGGGCATTGAGGGGAAGCCCCAAGAAGAGCAGGGTCTTCCCTTGGAGGTCAAGTTCATGAGGACCTATGAGAGCCTGGAACTTCATCAACATCTGGGCCACTAGACACAGCCTGGAAGATGGAGCCCAAAGGAAGAGGGGAACATAGCTAGAGCCAAGATCTTGGTTTCCAAACACCATTCTCCACTGAAATGAACAAGACTCCTTGGAGAAACGGTCATTTCTGGGAAGCTCTTGGGCATGGAAAGCCCAGGATGAGCCCGACACCGCTGGCACTAAAGTCAAGGGAGAGGGCTCCTAGAATGATAAGACTCATGTTGAAGGGATGCCATGAGAGATGGGGCTTGGAGTGAAACTGATCAGGCAGCTGCTTCCACTACTGTGGGTTGCCTGGTGCAGGAGACACAATGAATCTGTCACTGAATTAGCAGGTACACACACGAGTTAAATCCCAGTCACAGGAAAGATCACAAGATATGTGGGCTGGGGCCCAGCACGGTAGCCTAGCACCTAAAGTCCTTGCCTTGAATGCACAGGGATCCCATATGGGTGCTGGTTCTAATCCCGGTGACCCTGCTTCCCATCCATCTCCCTGCTTGTGGCCTGGGAAAGCAGTCAGTGGAAGCCCAGGGCTTTGGGACCCTGCACCCTCTTGTGGGAGACCCAGAAGAGGCTCCTGGCTTTGGATCGGCTCAGCTCCGGCCATTGTGGCTGCTTAGAGAATGAATCAGTGGATGGAAGATCTTCCTCTCCGTCTTCTCCTTTCTGTAAATCTGACTTTCCAATAAAAATAAAATAAATCTTTTAAAAAGAAAAGATATGAGGTCTGACCTTGGAGTGCGTGTGTTTGGACTGTGCCTCCTCGGTAACTGATGCCTGTGCAGTGGACAGCACATCCAGAAGCACACGGGGACATGACAGCCAGTTTTTCTGGGCCCAAGAATGCCAAGTGCCTTGTCAGAAAATGGAGAGCAGAACAGGCTGTACCACTCTCCTGGCCAAACTTTGCAACCTGTTTCTGGGCCTGTAGATGCACTAAGGTGGACTTGGTCAGCCAATTGACCTTGGAAAGATTTCCTCAACTCTGGAGCAACAAAGCCAACAGCACCTCAGAACAATCAAAGCCATTCAAATGACACCCTCAAAACATTCTTCCCACAGTAGGGACTCTAAGGCGTCATCAAATATCTGCCCCCGTCTCCAAGTGCTGATACAGTTTGACAGCAAGGAGTGGCTCTCTCTCCTTTCACTGCAGATGCAGGAGAAAAAAAAAAAATAAAACATTTGTCTCACCCACCATCCTCCAGATCTCCACCTCAATTGGAGACCCACATGGGCATGCATCCCTCCCAACTATGTAAACAGTATTAAAAAGAAAGTTAAAAAGAAAAAGGGAAGGTGTTCCCCTGGTCAGTTGGAGGGAAAGTATAATAGCCAGAGCTGGCTGCTGAGTGAAGCCTGAAATTGTGTGCAGGTGAATGAATGGAACTCGGGATGAGCAACGGGGCATCTCACCAGGGCAGGACAGGGACCTCCAGGGGGGGAGCCAGGAAAATTAGCAGCAGGCCAGACTAGCGCCATGGCGTGGCTCCTCGCCAGCACCTGCACACTGACCAAACCAAGATGGAGGCCCCACTATCACCTCTCAGCCATAATAGGGCCTGAGGTTTCCATGATAGGATCTGGGCTTCCATAAAAGCAAGCTGGGAAAGACTGCGCCCAGTTCCCCCAGTAACTAACACACCAGCACTACCTTTGCTCCTTGCAGATACAACGTGGTAAAGACGCACAAATACCCCAAAATGCTGAGCCCCTGAGACTTGGTCAGTTTCTGCCAGCCCCTCCCATCAATTTGTTCTGAGCTTCTTTTTCTTACTTAAATAAAATTCCATTCTTTCTACACTCAATTTCTACTGTCCAAAACCACCACAACATGACCCCTGACTCACCCCAGTGGCTTTCTAGCAACACTGTGGCAGTACCAAGGGCTCAAGCAATGAGTCCACCCCACAAATTCTGTGCTATTAGGATCTGACACGATAGCGTAGTGGTTAAAATCCTCACCTTGCATGCACTGGGATCCCATATGATCGCCGGCTCTAATCGTGGCGACCCTGCTTCCCACCCAGCTCCCTGCTTGTGGCCTGGGAAAGCAGTCGAGCATGTCCCAAAGCTTTGGGACCCTGCACCCACGGGGGAGACCCGGAAGAGCTCCTGGCTTCAGATTGGCTCAGCTCCAGCCGTTGCGGTCACTTGGAGAGTGAACCATCGGATGGAAGATCTTCCTCTCTGTCTCTCTTCCTCTCTGTATATCTGACTTTGTAATAAAAAATAAATAAATCTTAAAAAAAAAAGAAAATGTACTAGATCTTTATGGAAAATTTCTTAATAAAGTGCACATCCTACATAAGGAACATTTAAATAAATGGATAAATTAATAACATTCTCATATATAAAAAGCTAAGTTTTTTTGGGGGGGGAAGACCTAGATATTCTAAAAGGTATATGGAAAAACACAACTCTAATAGCTAAGTCAGTTTTGAGAATTGGAAATGGAATTCTCACTTCAGCAGATGGGAATGCATAAGGTCGTGGTCATCGTTTTTAATCACAGTCTGGTATCGATGCAAGCACAGCGCCTGACCACTGGCCCAGGACATTTGCAGCATCGCAAGCTGACAGGTGGACTTACAGGATTCCTGCATGCCAGGAGCAAGGCACAGGCTCCAGGCCTGATTGTACCGGGAGAGATCTGCCACCTGGGGACTTCCCCACAGCGCTGAACCTAGCCTGGAGCCTGCCTGAGCCACTGAGCAAGCTTGGGCCAGAAACACCAGAACGAAAGAAAAGGGTGCATTTGGAATGGAAGGCTTATAATTTGGAGAGAGTAGAAGTATTATCACGCGGTGACAGCACAGTTAAGGAAATGAAGGCTCAGGGAGGTTTAGTGGCTTGCCCTAGGTCACACAGTTAGCAGAGGCGGTGTGCCAGTCCCTTCTTATCTCCTCTATGTTCCCCTCCCTACCCTACAGACCCAAACGCAGACTTCCATGGTTGCTGCCCGTCCACGCCTAACTCACCTTCAGGGATGTTGCGGAAGGCCAAGTTGTCCCTGTCCCCAGTGTTGGCAGTGGGGAGCCCTAGTGGGAAGCGGCCCACCTCCATACTGGCCTTCTCGCCCCAGTTCTCCAGAGTGTCCTCAAGGGGCACAGTGCGGATACTGTTGTCTTCAGAGTAGTCCTGTTGGCTGCTCAGGGTCAAGGTCGAGGTGTCACTGAACATGAGGCTGGAGCCCACACTGAGGGTCTCGTTGGAGCCTAGGATCAGAGTCATGCACGAGGGCGGAGAGCGGGTGGTGAGGGGTCCGTGGGTGCCTGAGTGCAGACTGATCCCATCGCTGGAGCCAGGAATCAGGGTCACACTCGAGGCCTGAGTGAGAGTCATGTTCAAGTCAGATCTGGAAGGGCTGTTGGAGGTCAAATTGGTGGTGCCTTTGGAGCTGGATCTCCAGATTGTCCCAAAGGATCCTCTGGAAATAGACCCAGAGAGGTTATGCGCAGCCAAAGGGACTGTTTCGCTGGCAGCCAGGGCTACATTCACTTCCACTTTGGAGATGTTTCTCGAGGCCACGCTGAGTCGCTGAGTGGAGTTGGGAGCAAGAGAAGTATTGGAGGCTGGGAGAAGGAGTGCTTTGGAGCCTGGCCTGGAGATGCAGTGGCCCAAGACCAGGGCTTCTCTTGAATGGGACCTTATGAATGGGTTTGTTTCAGGTCTGGATGGATTAGAGTTACTCTGCCCTAAATCAAAACCCCTGCTGGATAGAATCTGGAAGGCCTCCTCTGAATTTGGTCCCGAGGGGATCCCTGAGCTCTGGCCAGTGGCCTCGGGGGAGCCGGCACTCAGGGCAGGGCTGGAGGCAGAACACTGGGCCCCCTGGGAGCTGGACTGTGAGACATGATTCAAGTCCAGCTCCAGGGCTTCATCAGGAAAGGCAGTGGCATTCTGGAGAGAGGCCAAAGCCACAGCTCTGTTATCGGTTGCTCTGGGGTTGTGATCTGACTCCGGGCCCAGGGCCTTCATGGAGCCAGGAGTCAGGGTGGAGTTGAGGTCTGGAGTGAGAGCCATGGGAGGACTGGGAGGTGGGTTCAAGGTGGGAATGAGGGCCATGTCCACGTTGTACCCGGGATCAGCGCCGGAGTCCACACCCAGGGCCCCACAAGGATGGAGACCTGGCGGCATTGCTGGGTCTTCCTGAAGCTCCAGACCTGCCTCTGGGTTCAGGGCCATGGCCACTCCGGAGCTCTCAATGCTGCTGCCCCTTTCTCTCCAGTGGCCAACTGCTGTACTTCCTGCAGTGCTCCTGAGAGGGAGAGAAAGAAAGGACACATAGCCAGGTTCTCCCACCTGCTGGAACCTTGCCACAGCCCCCCACTTCCCTTGGTCCCAGGACTGTGACAACCACCTGTGTGTGACCATGTCCAGCCTCATCTCACGCCATCCCCCTCAGGGCTCCCAGGCTCCCATCCATATCCCTTGCGCTTCTCTCACTTGGCCAGTCCGCTGCCTCTCAGCTGGTGGCCCTTGGTTTGACCTCTCCTCCAACTACCGTTTGCCAAGTCTTGGCTCTCTGTAGCATCAAAAACTATGTCTGTGGCTGCATCCCTGCAGCATCCCCAGGTCACAGCACAGTGGCCAGGACACAGTTGGGAGACAAAAAAAAAAAAAAAAAAAGCCACATAAGGCAGAAAAGGAGAAGGAATAACCTCGTGTGTTGCCTCATTTCTGGCCAGCCACGTGTGACTTGGTGACCTAAGGTCACCAACAGGTATCCCTGAGCCTTGGGCAGTGAAGGCTCTCCAAGCCAGAGCCAAACCACCCTGGGTTGCTAGAATTACTCTGCAAGTAACACTGGCACTAGATTCTCAAGGCCATGTGCAGAGCTGCTTGTAGCCCTTAATTGGTTATCCGCCCCAGGTGGGGCAGGCTACATGGAGAACACTGGGCAGTTCGAAAAAAACACCCTGCTTCAATCTAGCACTCTAACTATATGAACTCCCTAACCCTCCCATCATCCCCTGCACTCGCTACAGAACCTGTAGCAGCAGCTCACCTGCATGCATGGTGCCCTTAAGCAGGACTAGGGCCCTGGGGGAGGAGATACAGAGGAAATTGAGTCAGAGGAAGAACAACTACAGGCCAGATATACCCACCTGTTAGCCAACTCCCATCTGCACACACACAAACACACACACACATGCACAATCTATAGCCCAGGTCTACACACCTGTTAGCCAACTCCCACACACAAAATATACACAACCACCTGCCCCACAGTATTCACAAGGAAGTGTACGTCAAGCAGCAGGTCAGGTCAGGCCCAGCACAATAGCCTAGCGGTTAAAGTCCTCACCTTGCATGCACAGGGATCCCATATGGACTCCAGTTCTAATCCCAGTGACCCCACTTCCCAGCCAGCTCCCTGTTTGTGGCCTGGGAAAGCAGTGGAGGACGGCCCAAAGCCTTGGGACCCTGTACCACGTGAGAGACCCAGAAGAGGCTCTGGGCTCCTGGTCTCAGATAGGCACAGCTCCAGCTGTTACGGCCACTTGGGGAGTGAATCATGGGACGGAATATCTTCCTCTCTTTCTTCCTCTCTATCTGACTTTCACAATAAAAATTTAAAATATATCTTAAAAAATAAAAAGGAGGGAAGGCCACACACTCTGCCAGCCCTCTGGGCAGCCAAGATCCCCTCCATGCCCCTTCTGATTTCTTCATGCACTGGCTCATTCACTACATCATTTAGGCTACCCACTGTGATGTGCATCTTAGTAGCTTAGTTATCAGAAAGATTTGGAGACTAAAGACATCTTGTCCTGAGTTCAGCTCTCACCACATCCTCTCACTAGCTCAGTGAATGTGGACCAGAGGGTCTCCTGCCCTGGCCTTGACCTCCTCATCTCTGCCCTAGAAGTCCACCCAAGGTGCCGTGTTGTAGCATCTGGTGCAGAGCATGTGGCCCATGGGAGGCCCTAGCTAAATGACACTGTCTGTCAGGCACCGTGCGCTGCCAGAAGTCGGACACACAGCAAGTGGCTCACACACAGCATGCCATCTGCCGGGAGCTAACAAGTGTTCCCTCACCATCAGCACGTGATTTCACCTGGAAACTAAAGAAGTACAAACTTCCACGTGTCTGATTTCACAGTCCTTTTCCAAAACCCTAGATGTCATTTTGTGCTCATATATTGTTTTACTTCTTTTACATAAAAAGAGCCTGGGTTCTCCCATGTTCATCTGCACCACTCATGAAAACAAGTGGGCATGCGCACACACACACACTCTCTCAGATGGGCCATCATTACCTATGGTAGGTATGTTCAATCTAGATGGCCCAGTACAATGGCTCAACTGGCTAATCCTCCCCTTGCAACTGGTGGGATCTTACATAGGCACCAATTCATGTCCCAGCTGTTCCACTTCCCAACCACCTCCCTGCTTATGACTTGGGAAAGCAATGGAGGATGGCCCAAAGCCTTGGGACCCTGTACCCACAAGGGAGACCCGGAAGAAGCTCCTGGATCCTGGCTTTGGATTGACTCAGCTCTGGCCATTGGTGCTATTGGGCAGTGAACCAGCAGATGGAAGATCTTTCTTTATTTTGCTCTCTGTAAATCTGCCTTTCCAATAAATAATTAAAAAAAGATGGCTAAATGTAGCCTATGAGACAGTGAGTATGACCTTGGGAAATCTAACTGATCTGAGCTGGGGAAGACAAAAATAGGGGCAACCCTCAGGATGGACCAGGTAAATATCAGGCTGCTGGGAGGAATGCTGCAGGTCTCAACCCAGGCTCACCCTCCCTATTCTCCAATGATCAGATCTCCCTCCCCACTTCCTTCTGTTCTCTTACTGTTGTGTAACCAGCAGGGAAGCCCTCAGTGCTGCATGAGTGACAGCAAATGGACAGTGACAACCATAGCTGCCAACTGGTTCAAGTCTAAGCTGTTCTGCTTCCAATTCCTCTCCCTGCTAATGTGCCTGGAACAGCAGTGGAAGATAGCCCAAGTGTTTGGGCCCCTGCCATCCACGTGGCAGACCTAAATGAAGTTCCTAGCTCCAGGCTTCGGTGTGACCCGGTGCTGTCCATTATAGCCATTTGGAGAGTGAAGCAGCAGATGAAACATTCTCTCTCTCTTTTTCTCTCTCCCAGTCTCTAAGTCTACCATTCAAAAATATTTTTGAAAAAAGCCTTTGAGGGAAAAAAGAATGCTATCCAACGTGACTATCACATCCTTCAGTAGTATGCAATTAGTGGAACTAGAGGAAAGCATCTGATGAGGGGGAAAGAACAGTCAATGGGGAAAGATTGTTAACAATCACCGTATGATCCAAGAAGTCTACTTGGAGGTGTGTATCCAAAAACACTGGCCACATATCCCAAGACAAACCTGACCACACATGTGGATAACGGCAGTCTTCCCAAGGGCCAAGGCTGACACATCCAACCAACAGATGAACATGACACACACGTACACTAGGAAGGATTCAGCCATGAAAGGAATGAAGTACTTGTACGTGCTAAGCACGGATGAACTTTGAAAACCTGATGCTGAGTGAAAGCACTCGGCCGCAGCCTTAGAGGGTTCCATTTCTATGAAATCTCCAGGATGGTCAAATCTACAGAGACAGAAAGCAGATAAAAAACAGAAAGAAATGGGGCCCGGCGCGGTGGCGCAAGTGGTTAAAGGTCCTCGCCTAGCACGCCCGGGATCCCATATGGGCACCGGTTCTAATCCCGGCAGCCCCGCTTCCCTTCCAGCTCCCTGCCTGTGGCCTGGGAAAGCAGTCGAGGACGGCCCAAAAGCTTTGGGAGCCTGCACCCGCATGGGAGACCCGGAAGAGGCTCCTGGCTTCGGATTGGCATAGTATCGGCCCGTTGCGCTCACTTGGGGAGTGAATCATCGGACGGAAGATCTTCCTCTCTGTCTCTCCTCTCTCTGTATATCCGCCTTTCCAATGAAAAAATAATAAAAATAAATCTTTAAAAAAAAAAGCAGAAAGAAAAAGATTAGCAGTGGTGTGGACAAGGGCAGATCAGAAAATGACTGCCAAGGGTCCAGGGTTTCCTTGTGAAGTGACAAGAGTGTCCTGGAAGTGGGTGGTGGTGACTGCACGATGTTATGACTGTCCCGAATGTGCAGCAATGTCATGCTATGTCTTTTGTGACATGGTCTGTAATGTATATGGTCGTTAAGAGAGGGTAGGCTCACTTTTCTCTGCTCCTCGCTTCTGAAAACAGCCAAATGGTTCAGCAGTGGCTGAAGTCCGTGCTTGGCGAGCTCCAGGATCCCATATAGACGCTAGTTTGCAGTCACTTGGGGAGTGAACCAGCGAATGAAAAATCTGTCTCTCCTTCGCTCTGTAAATTTGACTTCCCAAGGAAAAAAAAAATTTTTAAGTGTTCAGGTGAGAACAGCAATGTTTTGTTTTAAGATTTATTTATTTATTGGAAAGTCAGATATACAGAGAGGAGGAGAGACAGAGAGGAAGATCTTCCGTCCAATGATTCACTCCCCAAGTGAGTGCAAAAGCCAATGCAATGCCAATTCGAAGCCAGGAGCCAGGAACTTCTTCCAGGCATCCCACATGAGTGCAGGGTCCCAAAGCTTTGGGCCGTCCTCAGCTGCTTTCCCAGGCCACAGCAGGGAGCTGGATGGGAAGTGGAGCTGCCAGGATATGAACTGAACCTCATATGGGATCCTGGCGCATTCAAGGCAAGGACTTTAACTGCTAGGCCACGCTACCGCCCCCCCCCCCACCAAAAAATTTATTTTTAATGAAATAAGATAAAAAGCCTGCTCTCTCCAGGCATGGGACCAGGGGAAGTCCAACCAACAGGGAGCCCCAGTGGGGTGCCCTAAGCCCTACCCCTTCTCTGGAGCAACACAGAACAATCTATTCATAGAAGCTGTGTCTGAGGAGCCCTGTATCCCTGGGCCCTACATTCAGTGGCAGAAAACTTAACAGACTCCACAGCTCTCAGTTTACCGGTACTAGGAGGCGACCCAGGAAGATGCCTTCTGTTGCAATGGGCAGTACCAGCAGGCGTGAACACAAGCCCTGGTCACAGCAGAAAGGTGAAGCAAACCAAGACTCCAACAGCTGCCACTGGACTGCAGCTGTCACAGGTAGACCAGTAACTGCACACTACCCTCAGCAGACTGACGGTAAAGAGATTTAAGCAGGAACAAGAATATCTTAATATAACATTCAAAATGGCAAGC